ATAAAATTTTGGAGATTATAATTAAAAGTTACTATTTTTTTTAGTTTTTTATTTTATTATGAATAATTTACTAATTATTCTTAATTTTTAATGTTTTTATTTTTAATTTAATCTTATTTAATATAATTTTTAATAATAAAAATATCTACTTAATTTTTAATTTTTAATTTTTTAATTCAAAAAATACTTATGTAGTGCATAGGAAAAATGGTAGTTTAAATTCAAAATTAATTATTATAAATTATTTTATATTTTTAAAATTTCACTGTACAAATGACTAACATGCCTATAATTTTTAATGTTTCTTATCGACATTTCTATATAAATTTCTCACCATTTTAGTAAATAATATTTTATTAAGCTTTTATGTAAGAATTGAAAAGAATCATCAAAGAATCTTTAATTTAAAAAATATATATCATTCTATTTGACTAAATTGTTTTTTACATTTATTAATTTTTTAAAATTTGATGGAGATATGTAAAAAAAATTAAAAAATTAAAAATAATACTTTATATATAGTTTTAATTTCATGTTTGGCTCTTGTACTTTAATGTGTGTACAAATTTTATTTTTTTTAATTTTAATTGTTCATATTTAATTTTATTAATTTTTTATATATGTAGTTTTTGTCCTTCTAATTTTAATTGTTTAAATTTAATTCTTTGAATTTTTTAAATATGTAATTTAAATTTATCTAATTTTAATTATTCACATTTAGTTCCTCTAGTTTTACAAAAGTTAAAATTAAGTTATCTATTAAGATTTTTATTATGTTTTACTTCATGCGGCTGAAATTATCTATTAAAAATTATCGACTTTGAGTTATAATAATGCATGCAGCTGCTATATTAAATATTTAAAAACAAATTTTATTATCTATATTAATCTTATTTGATTCAAATAAAACTGTTATAAAAATATATCTAATTAAAAAAATAAAAAAAAATAAACCCATGCGTCTCTTTTTCAGAATCAAACCAAATGCTGATATAAAGAAAAGAAAAGAACAAAATAAAAATAAAAATCACAGTCTTCACAGCCAAAGTTGGGTTTGATAGTGTCATTAAGTTGTGAAAAGAAAACAAAATGAAAAACCCTTTCAGTCGAAACAAAGGAAAAGGAGTGAACTTTTTTAATTTAAACTATAAATAGTTTTATATAAATAAACTTTACTTAAATTAAAATTATTTTATTAGTAAATATCTTATCTATACATTTAGCTTAAATATACATTTTTTAACTAATCAATATATGTTAATTAAATATCATGTTATTTGTTTTCTTTAAAAAGGATAAATACAAGTTTTTCATAAACGAAATTTAAGGTTTTAAGTTTTCTTTTACATTGAAACAATGCATATTTTTTCTCAAAAAAATTGTAAAAAAATATAATGTTAATTTATTATGAGAGAAATGAATATATCTAAAAGAATAGAAAGTAGAGAAGAGAAAAGAAAAGGATATAATTAGCAAATCAGGAGAAAAGAGTTTATAATTGAAGAAGGAAAAGGACTGAACACAGAAGAGTGAGTCAGCTTTATACATTGCAGAACCAAACCTTATTTATTGCTCAATGCTCAATTGCCCAAAGCTGCATTGCCTCACTCACTTGTTCCGCACTTTACAAATCACAAATATTCCAAATTATTTATTTCAATCAAATTTAAGAATAATATTAATTAATCAGATTCATTGAAATGTTGAATTCATGTATACTTAATATTGCTTGAATAAAATTTTAAATTTTAGTCTTTGTGTATATAAAAAATATTTAATATTAAACTCATAGTTTATAAGTCGATTAAATTGGATAAAAAATGATATTTAATAATTTAAAAAATAAAATGAAGTGATAGGTGTATTATTTGGTGCCAAGAACTGAAAGTTTTTAGGAGTGTCTTCATTGTCTGATGAGAGTTGTAGAAAGGAGTGGTCCCTATTTACTATTCAATCCTCATTTTTATATTCTGAAAGCAAACACAAACACCGTACTGCCATCAACTTGAGAAACTCTTCCTTCTGCAATCACCCACACTTGTTTCCCAGCGCGTGTTTCTATACTTTAAATATCAAAAATATCTTATTTTCAACGTAAAAAATATAATTTCTACAAATTTCTTATGAAGCTCTCACTTCTTGGAAACTATATTTGTAGAACAGAATTTTATAAAGTATATCCAAATTTATTTTATTAGTTAAAAAAAAAGAGAAAGATAATTTTTTATTCAAGAAACATTCCCATCATTGAAGGATAATTAAATCTTTACTTTTAATATCAATTTAATCCTTTTGGATTTACTTTTGCACGTGACACACTTCACAGAAGATTTTGTGTACCTTCTGAGTTTTTCCCAGCAATAGTAGAAATGCTAACTTTTCTACTTTCAAAGATACTCTCCACTAAGAAAAAAAAAAGTTTGAGAGTATAAATATAAATATTTTTTTTATAAAGTCAAGTTTTTTGATTTAAATAAAATTATTATAAGCGAAATTTTTTTAAAATATTAACTATAACTGTATTTATAAAAATTCAAAATTACATATTAAATTAAAACAATATTATAAATTGATCACCTATTTCGTGTTAACTTTCAAACGATACTTTACCCTTTCTAAACAATTTTCATCTTATAGTATAAAGACATTTCTAGAAGACATTAATATGAATAATTGAAAATTCCCAAAAGTCAGTTAGGAATTAATTCATGGGACCATTGTCATTTTTTTTCCAAGTTTTCAAAAGTTAAATTATCAATAATAAGTTTTTTAAAAAAGATTAATTATTATAATATAACTATTTTTATATGTTCACCTTCTATGCTGAGCATTTGTACTTTTATCCACCTTTAAACAATTTAACTCAAATCCAATATATAAAATATGAATAGGTAAGATACTTGAATTATATTTTGTTCAGCTTGAACAAGTTCAATCTCAATTGACTTGAATATTAAATTATAACTTATCATAATTATCATAATTTGTTAAAAGTATAGCCCCTTGGCAATCAAACTTGCTCCCTCACGCATGTGTAACTGGCACGCTCCATGCACTGCATTGCCATTGTATGAGCTAAGGCACTCTAATGATTCATTAGGGGAAAGTGACAACATATGCTAATAGATTCATGCATGGTGTCTTCTTATAAATAGTCATGGAGAAGCCTCATCACAATTGTATGACTCATGTTGCCCTTTGTGGTCTTGTTCCAATAATTCAAGAATGTTCTTATCTGCATTGGATTGTGGGAGGATGTGTCAATATAAGTTGAGAAAAAGTCAAAATATTCAACTAGTTTGATTGAGAAAACCAACTATTTGTAAACATAACACTGTTATTTTATTAAAAAACTATTCTAAGAAAAATATTTGTCTTTTAATTATGATCTTATAAGCTGCTAAAATAAACATTTAGGTGTACAATTTGAACAAACTTGTACAAAAATTTGACTTCATCTCAATTCTTATAATTGAGTTGAAAGCATTTAAAAGAAATGCTTTTTATTTAAAATATTGTTATTTATTTATGCTTATTTTTAATTTTAACAAAACCAAAAATAAAAAATAAAGGCATAAAATTTATGAGTAAAATGATGTAAGAGTAAAAGAAAGTAAGGGAGAGAGAACGATGAGAAAAACTCAATTGGTCTTCATTTGTTGTATGATTAGTATTCATATTTCTAATTTTAATTGATAGCTATGATTTTTTATATTCTAAAAGAACCCATATTTAAATTACCAAATGCATTTCTGTTCATCAAATAAATGGACATTTTATTAGCATATATTTTAGTTAAATTATCATGTTAACTTTCACTTTGACCTAACTTGATTGTTAGCTAGTATTCAGTGCATCTCTGTTTAAAAATATATTAAAAAACTTATAAGCATGCATGTAATATCAAAATTACAACAACTAATAATATTAAATTTACCACGAATTAACATGAATTTAAATGTTATTAATTCATTTTGGCTTAGATTAATTCAATTAACATTTAATTTGATTGACTATTAACTAGTCTAACTCCGTTGACTAATTACTTTGCCTTGGTAGTATACTAGATGAAGTATCTACATATATATGTTTAAATTTGTTATTCACTTTTTTTCGAAGAATAAATAACTAATTTTTAGTAATATTAATAAAAAATAATTATATATTATAAATTTATAATATTTTTAAAAATTTTATATTTACTTATAAATAAATTTGTTAACATAAAATTTATAATAAATACAAATATAAAAAATTAATAATTAATATATTTAACAATATATTTTCTATTTTTTATAATTAAAATAAAAATAGTAATTATTATTTATAAAAAAATGGATGAGAATAATGCGAATCCTTCTAAATTTTTAAAAAGTGTGCATGCAGAAAAGGAGGTGTGAGTGCGTGAAATAGATGCGCGTGGGATATAGTTATGAGAAGTAACACATTCCCATTCATATAACTTTTATTGGTTTGTGGGTCGGAGTCTGAGTCCAAGACTAGAATGACGGCTACTACCATTTATGTTTTTAAAAGTGCATATTTTAATTAAATTTTTTATATAATATTTTTAATATAACTTAATTAATAGTTTGATTTTATAAAAAGTTCACAAGTTGTTAAAATATATTTTTTATTTTTCATAAAATATTAATTTTAATCTCTCTAATTAACATAATTTAATAAAATATTTAATAAAAATTTAAATTGTTCAAGATTTGTAAGACTAAACATTTAAATATTTAAGAGAGAATCAATTAAAAAAAGAATAGTATCAGACTCGATGTTTCTTCACTTTCTCTCTCTTCATAACACTCCCATTTATGTTTTCCCCTGCAGTTCACGCCAAACGCCTGCACCACCCTCTCTGCTCTCTCGTGCTCTGCATGTGACTGAAAAACCAAAGCTAACATTGCCCTTAATGTAATCATAGTTACCTCTTCATCGTCCCTTTCTTTGTTCTCTGCTGTGAGATTTTGTTTGTACTAGAGGGAGTGGTAATGGAACATGAACATGGTTTGGTGCTGTTGATCTTTGTTAGCAATCACAGAAGACACTCTCTGTTGTTTGTTGTGGCAATGCAACTGATGTTGCTTCTCTCTTCTTTTGCTTCACCCATTAGTGATGAAGGTGTGTGTGCATTGCCGTTTTTACTAACACTCACTCACCCCTTTTTCTTCATGTTTCCTTCACTTGCTCCAACAAGAGTGATCGTTTTCCTCTTGTATTTTTGCATGTGGGTATGCTTGAGGAACACGTATGGTTGTGTTTAAGGACTAAAAACGTAAACTTTATTACAATCCTGGGTTTTCCCAGAGAAATGGAATGCAATGAGCTCGTTATTTGTGTGATGGTGTTTTTTTATTATTTTTTAAAGTAATTGTAGTTACTAATAATTGCGAAAAATGCCATTTTATTTGATTCTTGTTTGCAAAGAGTTTGTGAAAGGAAACGAAAAAAAAAAAAACGAAATTTTGTTTATAGTATTTCTGTTGCAAAATATGAAAGGAAAGAAAACATGAAAATGACCATTTTGTAATTATAATAAAATTCCTTTTTTTTCTGTATTTGGTGCTGATGGGAAGTTTTTGCTCTAACAATTTTTTATGTTTTACTGTTCATGCTTGTTTGTTGTGCTTTTCGACATTCGTTTCAATTATGCTTCTATTGGCGGCTAAGCAGTACTCTAGTTGCGTTTGTTGATAGATGAGAAACATTTCAAGTGTATATTTAGTTGTAACATGTGTAAGTTTTTTTTAAAGCTTGTGCGGTGTGATTTGATCTGTCATTGAACCCCATGTGCTTTGTGAATGGTCAAATGTGGCAAATCCAATCTATGCCTTTTTTTAATGTAGCGAAGTCATGCCTTTGGATCAAAAGCAAGTACTTTTTCGATTTTCTTTTTTTAATCTCATCAAGTAAAATGCTAAGTTTTTTTTTTTTTTAATTTAAATCTTTGTGGAAAGAAAATCCTAAAACTGTATATGATGAAATAATAGCTAAACAAGTGACAAATGTTTATTCATACACTTAATAAAAAGATAAGGTTGTTGTTTTTAAGGGTTGTAGACTAATATTCTTATAATAATAATTATAGTATCAATATCTGCACCTTTATATCTACTTATATAGCTTTTATGGAACCTTTTTAAAACTAGGAAACATGGTTAAAACTTCACCACCCAAACCTGAATTTTGCAAAGGAATTCATTTGCTTAGATGAACGAAAAGATGCGTTAATACAAAGAAGAAAGAATGGATGATAAGGCACTGTAGATTACATATAGATTTTATGCATCAATGAAGTTTTGAAGTACTTGACTTTTCATGCACATGAACGTGTGTGTAGGACAAGCATTGATGAAGATTAAGGCTTCTTTCAGCGATGTAGAAGATGTTCTGCATGATTGGGATAATGTGCACAATGATGACTACTGTTCTTGGCGTGGAGTCTCGTGTGATAATGTCAGCCTTACCGTGATTTCTCTGTGTGTTTTCTATCTGTGATCTCTTCAATCATGTCGTGTTAATCTCTCTGATAACTACATTTTAAGTTAATATGCTTTGTCCTGTTTTTGAAGGAATTTGTCAAGCTTGAACTTGGGCGGGGAGATATCACCGGCAATTGGTGACTTAGGAAACTTGCAATCCATGTACATACCATATCTAGGTTTATTTGATCATACTCTTTCTCTTAGCTTTGACGTCTATGTTTAGTCTGAATTATGCAATTGTGGCATTGACAGAGACCTGCCGGGAAACAAACTAACTGGTCAAATTCCAGATGAAATTGGGAACTGTGCTGCACTTATTCATATGTATGAACCATGATGCTATGGTCTTGTTTCTATTATCTTTTTTCGTGTTTTCCTTGTTATGCTGTGTTGGAGTTTCCCATGATATAAATGCTGATATAATATTTTTATTCATTTAATTTGGAAGGGATTTGTCTGATAATCAGCTATATGGTGATATACCTTTCTCCATATCAAAGCTAAAGCAGCTTGTGTTTCTGTAAGTTTGAAGCCAGAATTTGCCATTCAATGTGTTACTTTTTCACTACTATGGGTCGTGAGTTGAGCTGGTGAATGCAGGAATTTAAAGAGTAATCAGTTGACTGGTCCTGTCCCCTCGACTTTAACCCAAATTCCAAACTTGAAGACTCTGTAAGTTTCCACTTTGTTGTTAAGGGGGGTGTATGAAGCCAAAAATATGATCCAATGGGAATGACAGTTAGTGGCTTCTCTTGGAGAAGTTCTAATAATTGTACTGTCATGTTTCAGTGATCTTGCCCGAAATAGACTCACCGGTGAGATTCCAAGACTACTCTATTGGAATGCAGTCTTGCAGTACCTGTTAGTTCTTCTATCTTTTGTTTGTATCATTTACATTTAAGGCTATTGCATGTTTCCTATTATATCTTACTAAACTATGAAACTCTATTATATAAATACTGAGTTGAAAGCTTACTGTTTTTGTGCTGTCTATGTAACTATGTAATAGTGGGTTGCGAGGGAATATGTTGAGCGGAACACTATCCCCTGATATCTGTCAGTTAACTGGTTTGTGGTATTTGTGAGTATTTCAACCATTTCAATGAGGTTTCTCTCTCTTTTTTTTTAATTTCCTTTCAATCTTCCTTGGTTTCTTACATTTGGTATTTTGTTCTGTTTTACTTTTACCTGATTTCTCAGTGATGTGAGGGGCAATAATTTGACTGGTACAATACCTGACAGCATTGGAAACTGTACAAATTTTGAAATCTTGTATGTTACTTCACTGGTGCATTCAGTAGCTTCATTAGAGTTGTTTTTTTGTCTAAATTGTAACTCCATCTTTTGAATGGGTTTCAGGGATCTATCATATAATCAGATTTCTGGGGAGATCCCCTATAATATTGGATTTCTTCAAGTAGCTACTCTGTGAGTGTACCCTGGATGTGAACCTGTTACTTGCTAACTTTCTTCGATTATCTTTTTTTATATTTTCAGTCACTTCCTGGAAGATATTGTTGTATTTTTTTTGTTATTGGGTGATCTTGTAACCATGAATTGTATAGGATGCAATAATCATTGGCTTCTCTGCCAGGTCACTTCAAGGAAATAAACTAACTGGGAGGATTCCGGAAGTCATTGGTTTAATGCAGGCTCTTGCCATTTTGTAAGTATACTAATCATGAAAACTTTTTGGTTTGAAGTTACATTTCTAGAAAATACTTTCAGTACGGTGATCATATATAATTGTACAATCACATTATCGCAGGGATTTGAGTGAGAATGAGCTGACAGGACCCATCCCTCCCATACTAGGAAATTTGTCTTTCACTGGCAAGCTGTAAGTATGATTTCAAGCAATGATAATATCTCTTGTTAGTTATTTTTGTCTTAGTTTTTTTATCATTTAGGTACCTTCATGGAAACATGATTACTGGATCAATACCTCCAGAACTTGGCAATATGTCAAGACTAAGCTACCTGTGAGTTGATCGCTAATTTGAGTATCCACATTATCTCCTGCTTTCTTCATGAAGTTGCTAAAGAGCTTTTGTTTTTGCAGGCAATTGCATAACAATCAACTAGTTGGAGAAGTTCCTGATGAACTTGGGAAGCTTGAACATTTGTTTGAATTGTGAGTTTTGGTCATTTCATCTCATGTTCATTGCATATGGCAGTTTCAGTAATGTTAAGTTGCTTCACTTACTACTGTTCAGGAATCTTGCCAATAATCATCTCGAAGGATATATTCCACATAACATAAGCTCCTGTACTGCCTTGAACAAGTTGTAAGATTTCTGAACTCTTGGCTGAGAGTATGTGGAATGTTATTTAACATTATTTAGATAGATATCAATACTTTGGCTTGTGGAGTATTGTCCAATCATTTGTTACTTTTGCAGTAATGTGCATGGTAATCATTTAAGTGGTTCAATTCCTTTGAGCTTTCGCAGCCTTGAGAGTTTGACTTACTTGTATGTTTCATCTAACTATATCAAGACTTGCTTCATTCTTTTTGTGGTGGATTTCTTTGCCTATTTATTGATTAATGTGATAAGAAAGTTTTGTTGTATTTCCAGAAATCTTTCTGCAAACAATTTCAAAGGGAGTATACCTGTTGAGCTGGGCCATATAATAAACCTTGATACGTTGTAAGTTCATGAAAGTATATCTGACTCGGTGAGTTGCAAGGCAGCATATGCTGAATTAGTTTTTGTATGTTGTGTTTTAGGGATCTATCTAGCAATAATTTTTCAGGGCATATTCCAGGGTCTGTTGGTTATCTTGAACATCTTCTGACCTTGTAAGATGAAAGCTGCTGTTAAACCATTTAATCTACTTATTTTTGGGTTTCACTTGTTGCTGCAGTTATGTAATATTAATCCATTATATATACAGGAACTTGAGCGGTAATAATCTTCAGGGTCCCTTGCCTGCTGAATTTGGAAACCTAAAAAGCATACAAATAATGTGAGTTTTGTTGCTCTTTTTGAAGTTTAAAATTCATTTGAGTCCTATCACATTGTATGTCCTTGTGGTTGTAAGTATCCATAATAAATTTTTTTTCTTTAGTGATATGTCTTTCAACCGACTGTCGGGTAGCATCCCTCCGGAAATTGGTCAGCTGCAGAATCTTGTGTCTCTGTATGTTAAGCCATGATATATCTCCTGTTTGATATTATTTTCATTGCTCATATTCAGAATAACGTGTTCACGAATTTTTTCTTTTCTTTTGCTGGAACTGTATGACAGGATTTTGAACAACAATGATTTGCATGGGAAGATTCCAGATCAGCTTACCAATTGCTTAAGTCTTAACTCCCTGTGTGTATTCCTAACAACTAGCCAGCTGTCTTATGATAATTTTCTTCAGTGTTGTGTCTGATGTGTGTCTCATTTCTGAATGCTTTGCATGCTTCATGTGCTAGGAATGTCTCTTACAATAACTTATCTGGAGTCATTCCACTTATGAGGAACTTCTCACGGTTTTCTGCCGACAGGTATTGTGCAGAAATGCCGAATTTCTTGGTTTTAACTTCCATTTATAATGACTTGTAATGTGATATATTGCAGCTTCATTGGAAATCCATTATTATGTGGAAATTGGATAGGATCAATATGTGGTACTTACATGCCAAAATCCAGAGGTGTAACATCCATCTGAAATGACTTGATAGTTACAATTATGATAATAATATTGCATTTTTTCTGAGAATATAATATTTAAATATAGTAAGCTTTACTTGGTACTTCTTTGTTCAGTGGTTTTTTCAAGGGCTGTGGTTGTTTGTCTCGTATTTGGTATCATCACAGTATTGGCCATGGTATCTATTGCTATCTACAGATCAAGCCAATCAAAGCAATTGCTTAAAGGGTCTAGAGGAACTGGGCAAGGCATGTTGAGTTTAAGACATACTTATATTTTTCATTGTTTTGTGAGCCTGAATACTCACTTCATTTCTTTTGCCTTTTGCTTCCTTCTCTTCAGGGCCACCCAAGCTTGTAATTCTTCATATGGGCCTGGCCATCCACACCTTTGATGATATTATGAGAGTTACTGAGAATCTTGATGAGAAATATATCATAGGGTATGGTGCCTCTAGTACCGTATACAAGTGTGTATTGAAGAATTCCCGACCAATTGCAATTAAACGACTGTACAACCAGCATCCACACAACTCAAGGGAGTTTGAGACAGAGCTTGAAACTGTTGGCAGCATCAGACATAGGAATCTTGTTACTTTACATGGTTATGCCCTAACTCCTTATGGAAATCTTCTTTTCTATGACTACATGGAGAATGGCTCTCTCTGGGATCTTCTTCATGGTAAATGTACTGAACCTTGGTAAAACTCCTTACAAATTTTCACATTGATGATATGACATCCTGTGTTAAAAAAAAATGTATGAGGTGCATGGGCATTGTAATCTTCCTCAGATTGATGATGTCTAGAATTTCTGAACACATTTGTTTCCATTGTTTAAGAGAAATCAGCAAATGTAGTGTAAAACTTTGTTTTTTTGACATAAACTGTCTTGTCTGAAGGTCCCATGAAAAAGGTAAAACTTGATTGGGAGGCACGCTTGAGGATTGCTGTTGGAGCTGCTGAAGGACTTGCTTACCTCCATCATGACTGCAATCCTCGAATCATTCACAGGGACATAAAGTCCTCAAATATCCTGTTGGATGAGAACTTTGAAGCTCATCTCTCTGATTTTGGCATTGCCAAATGTTTATCAACAACAAAAACTCATGCATCAACATATGTTCTTGGAACAATAGGCTATATTGATCCTGAGTATGCCCGGACATCTAGGCTGAATGAAAAATCTGATGTATATAGCTTTGGCATTGTTCTACTCGAGCTACTAACTGGGAAGAAAGCGGTGGACAATGATTCTAACTTGCATCATTTGGTAAGTACTTTCTGCATTATTCATTTTTGGGTTTATAATTATCCATAGGCAGACACCTAGAATCTGAGTAATAACGTTTACATGGTTTGTTAGGTTGGTCTGGAGCATTTGGTATATGATTATACATGTGTACTCTTAATATGCTATGTTGCCAATACATAAAATCATCATTTGTGAATGAAATATGAAGTCCTTTACTGTTAAAGTTGGCAATGATGTGTGTAAACATGCCTTGCAGATTTTGTCTAAAGCCGATAGCAACACTGTAATGGAGACAGTGGATCCTGAAGTATCTGTTACCTGCATGGATCTGGCCCATGTTAAGAAAACCTTTCAGCTTGCATTGCTTTGCACAAAAACAAATCCTTCTGAGAGGCCTACCATGCATGAAGTTGCTAGGGTCTTGGGATCACTACTCCCTGCACCTCCCAGCAACATCTTTGCCCCTCCTACAAAGACCATTGATTATGCACAATTTGTGATACAAAAAAGAAACCACCTCCACCACCCACAAATGGATAGGCTACAACCTCCGCAGGAGAAGTACTCTAATGATCAATGGTTTGTTCACTTTGAGGATGTTGTGTCAAACAGCCTCTAAGCACTTGATCTTGTTGTATCCGTGATTCATGTCAAAGCCAAAGGTTGGAGTGAAGAGGGTGGACAAACAACTAAGACTTTTGGAAATTGTATGGTAGTTTTTTCCCCTTAACAGCTAGATGGGTCATTGGATTTTTACACTTTTTTGGGATGATCAAGAACAGTCAAGAGAAAAGAGCTTGTAGAAAATGGTCACCGTAGTTTGTAGCAAGTATTGCTCTTTAGTAGTAGTATGTAGTAACAGTCAATGGAATTTCTTGCATACATAGTTTATGTGAATGGTTCAACTATATATATCACTAGAAGCATCCCAGGTAGATGTCTCCACCTTAAATTAGATTACTGTATTCTCTCTCTCTCTCTCTCTCTCTTATCATACCAAAGTTTATTCCTAAGTTTTAAAATTATTTGAGGTTTGTAAATTAACATAGAATTATGGAAATGGTTGGGGATACAAAGTAGTATTGTTTTTTATTTCGGTTCACTGATGCAAAGCGTTGTTACTTGGTTATATCATGCCATGTAAAATTTTAATTTCAAGAAAAGTGGTACGTGAGGGTGAATGAGTTTAATTGGCTGGTGTTTTTGGAATTAAAACAATTTTAAGTTTTCAACAGTTAGTTTTTTAGTTAATAGTTAAACACAATTTTACGCATTTTCTTCAAAAGTACACTAGTCACTTTATAGACTAGGCTAATGGCATCTCATGGTGATTTAAGCCATATGCTAGCACTGATATGTGCCTTCAATTGACTTCATTTGCGATGATCGATCTTATAAGTGATGACAATTCGATCCAACACGGAGCTCTGAATTTTGTTCATTGAATTACTTGATTCAATGAAATTTTGCTATGAGGTGGCTTTTAATGAATGATAAGAGGGTGATCTATTTCGATCTCCTTTCTAACTTGTAAAATTAATTTGTACTTATCGTGTGCCATTTTTTTTAATCTGTACAGAGCTGTGCCCAGTGTGTGAGAATCAGCATGGTGAGGCAGTGTAAAGTGTCTAAAAAATAAAAATATAAGAGAGGACATGTTTGGTAAAAAAAAATCGACATAAGTAATGAAAAAGGGTTAAATGTATTGAATTTTTGTAAACTTTTTAAGAAGCCAAGGTTATTCATTCTAATATCTGAAGTTTTCATTTAAAATAAAAGTTTTTGTATTTTAAATATATGACTTAGTACACTAATTTAGTTAAACCTTCGGTATAATTCCATTTATTTTGGACAAGTACTAAACTTCACAGTTTATAGTGCATAACAATTTTATTTCAATTTAAAATATTAGAATTTAATTAAAGGTAGATAGTATGTGAACAGACACTGCTTGTACAGAAGGGTGAACCAAGTGGCCTACGGTTGGAAAATTGTCAAAGAAAATGCAAAAGGAGAGGCATTTATCACTACCAGGTTACCTTAGACTGTTTGGGAACCAAAAGCAATTTACAAGTATAGTATTTTTTTTATCCCTCTTACTGTAGCACACCACATTACATTTTGGAAATTTTTTCATACATAGACTTAACAGGAAAGGGAAAAGGACATTAAGAAATTTGAAAAGTCTAATGCATTGTTGTACATTGCAAGTATTAAATTCCATCTTGGAACTTCCTCTCTAAATCTAAGTAATAGAATCCTTTTAAGCCCTGGTTAGCAAATAAGGCCCCGTTTGGGGTATTTTCAATATAAATTACATTTGAACTTCCATTAATGAGAGGAACACTTTCTTATGGAATTTTAAGCAAATGTGCCTAGACTAACAAGCATCAATTAGGAGAACCCCCACTCTATTTTCAGCTAATGTCCAATCTCCTGTGTAAAAAAAAAAAAAAAACAAGATTTTTGTGTAATTTATGCGGTTGTCTTTTCAAACGATGGCAAACAAATGATTTTTTTACTGCATATTTAAGGACACACAATACAAATTAAAATGTAGTAAGTCTTTATTGAAAATCACAAAATTTATGTAATAATAACATTAATTGTTGAGCATTTTAATAAAAAAGTTACTATTTATTAATTCTTTATTACTATGTATTCTTAAGTACGCATTGAAAAAACCAATAAACAGTTTTGGAAGCAAATTATATTTAGATTTGGTTCTACTTGCCAGCATATAGGTCTGCTTTGATATGATGGATCCCATTTCACTCACACATTGATACTCCTTTCCACATGGTCTCTGAATTCCTTCTTTGATCAAATTCATTTTCTATAAGTTAAATGTTATGACAAAAATAAGATTTGCATTTAAGTAAAATTTACATCCATATCAAAAGTGAGAAGTAACCAATATAATCCAGTATAGTCTGAAATTTTATTTGCTAAACATGAATTTGTGTTTCATGGACAATATAATGTAACTTTTATCAATGAATGTACAATACCAACCACTAACATACCTCATGCCCCTGTCTCAAGGATCCTGGTCTATTCTCTTTCAAGCCCTGCAATAGATTAATTAGGAACAATCATGCATTAATAGGAATGCTTCAGAAACTAAAAGAAACAATTTTTTCATAGGAGTGTTAAGAAAGATGAACCTTAGAAATTGGCTTCTCCTTTGATGGTGATTTTGTATTTTGTTTTTCAGAAGCAATGGAGAGCTGCAAATTAGGCCCCAAAATCAAACCACCATGATAGGGAAAATAATCATTGTGTATCCATGCTAACATGTAGCATATAAAGTTTCGGCAAATGATAACCACTGCTCTAAGAATATTGGTTAAGGAACAAAAAAAAAAATAATTATTTTTTTGCCAGAAAATTTAATAAATACCCTTTTCCCCTTAATTTCTAATGTAATTCAGTATAACTTTTAATAAAAAATTTATCACTTTTAATTTCTTATTTAATATCCTAAAGGCACTGGTTAGTAAGACACTAAAATTATAAACATTGACTTGAGAATCAAATCCCAACTATAAAACTAGTTCTTCATGACAAATTAGTAACATATTTAGAAACACTTATTCTTTATAATTTAGAAAATAATTATTCTTTAAAACTAGTTAAATCGAAAAAGTGAAAAAAAAAATTGAACTCTTAGTAGTTACTTGTAGCATGTTACTACCTTGCTAAATAATTCTGTGGGTGGTTCATTTAGAGATCTCTTGTCGTTTGATTCCTAAGAAGAAATAAAAGAAAAACAGAAATTACAATGAAAGATATATATATATATATATATATATACACACACAACAAACATGAAAATTTACAAAAACGTGCGCTCAACACATTACCAGTGGAAATACTTTCACAGTTCGGAAGACACCTCTTTCCCCATTACTTGAGAATTGCTGATGCAAACACATCATATATGTATATAATCATTGACTTTTTACTTTATTAAAAATGAATTTTAAAGAAAAATTGCACCTATACCACTGTAAACCTTAAACATTATGATGATAACTTACCTTATCATCGGTGCTACCTCGGAGTTTGTTAATCGTTCTACATTTCTCTTGCTTTGAGCCAGAGTTTGTGCTGTCAACAATAATAATAAGAGAAAATTTATAATTCTTTATTTATGGGAATTTTTTTTAACATATGTCTAAAAATACATAGTAAAAAAATTTTAAATTATAATATTTAACATTAATAATACATTATATTTTATAATATCTTATAAATTCTAATAAAATACGTAAATTTTTTTATTACGTACCGTTTAACAATTGATCAAAAGCTACAGGCATGAATCACTAAAGATCCACGTGCCATTTCTGTGACTGTAACAAAATATTCTTATTATGAAAGGGTATTATATTATATACGGGCCCTTGTTTGAGTGGTTTTGATTATCATGCACTTTTTTTAAGAAAATTAAACTTTTCTAAAAATTTTATATTTCGATATATTTTCTCTAAAATCTTATATTTCAATATATAATATTTTAAAATCTCATATTTAAATTAATTTTCTACTGGATCATTATACAAAATTCTTTATGTTTAATGTAACAAAAAAAAAAATTGTGTTTATACCTTTTGAGATCCCTTGTTTCAGTATTTGAGATAGAAATGCAGTTCAAATTACCTCTGGCCTGCAATGGAAAACACAAAACATTGAGAATAAGGGGAATGTGATTACTTGAGAATACAAAACTAAACCACTTACTTGAGTGAAACATAAACAGAAGCAAAAAATTCTTAAGACACAATAACTACAGCAAAAATTATTTAACTAACATTATTAGACGTATGTTGCATTGCCCTCTCTGATGTTCTCAAGTGGAATACCTGAAAAATAATTGTTAAGAAACAAAATTACGTAATTCATTACATTCACTGAAAATAATGCATCAGTGAAGAGTCAAAATATGACTAAAAAATTTGATTACTTGAAATTCTGTTAGTCGCTGTGTTTTGATCTTGGGAAAGAGTTTTGAGGGACCCTCCAAAATCTGCCACGCCCAAAAAGTTAATTATAAAAAAGTGATTGTTTTAACATGTACTCGAGGGCTTGTTAAAAAATTAAAAATATTTATTTCATGAAAAATATTTCATACATATTTTTTATGATAATTTCAAATGTTTAATATTTTTTTTAACAGGTAACCTTTTTAGCACGCATTACATAAAAAGTCCATACATTTACATCCGTTATCATTAGGTACTAATTAGTTTCTTCCAAAGTACAATTGAAACTGAAAGTGCTTACTTTTTTATGTAAAGAGCGTGCTTTAAGCACTTGAGAACTTGACACTGTAGTTCCATCTGATTGAGCATTAGTTTTAGACCTAATAAAGCACAACACCATCCAACATTTTGTCAAGTATGTCACAAAAAATGTTTAAAACAAAGGATGCCACAATATGAGAATATGATTTACTTGTGTCTTTGTGCCCTTTGAGATGTCACCAAATTAGATTCTTTAGGAATGGTAACGTTTGTTTTAGACGATGAATTGATGTCATTACCATCAACCTGCATTATAACAAAGTTAGACATAGCAATTCATGGTTATTACACCAACTTTCCTTGTGTGACAGTGTGAGGGTGTCAACAACAACTATATTCATATACTACTTTTGCCTAATTTCCACCTTATTTTTTTACTTATTCGCATTTTTTACTTTTCATTTTATACATCCCATTTTTAGGGTATGACTAACATAATTCTATTGTCAAACAAATAATGGATCATATTCCAAAAAAAATGGTTACCTCATGAGTTTTCTTATGTGTAAAAAGAATTTGATGCTTCAAACGAGCAACCTGTCATGAATTTCAGCAGTGAAAGAGGAGAAAGAGATCATGCACAGTAAAGGCTGAAAAATTAAATTTGAGTATTGCTAACTAATGTCTTAAAAATATTGGCTAAGAGATTAAAATATATTTTTTAAAATTACATTAGAATGCATTGAAAATTACAGAAAAAAAAAGGCATTAACAATATTTGCTAACAAAAGCTTTTTACTTGTCACTTTAAGGACTATGGTTAGCATGCGCTATTAAATTAAGCTAAAGATTTCATAATAGTTAGCATGGAAGGTTTATTCATAAACTTGAGCATACCGTGCGCAAGTAACCAGCTTCAAGCTTCTGCCTTTTGGTTAATTGGGCATCTGGGGAAGAAGAATTCTGTCTCTGAAACCTGCTAAGTTTAAATGACAGAGGAGATGAACCACAAGGGAAATAAAAAAAAGGAAGTTAACAAAAGGAAAAGAGTGATAAAAATTTCTTATAAATATGTTATTCATAAGATAAAATGCCATGCATGAGTGCATCAATATCAAATTTGTTTAAGTCTTATAAGTATGGTTTCTTTTAGTTCTGGTCTAAAAAATTTCTTTAGTTTTAATCTATACAAATTTTAAAATATTTTGAAATGACATGTTTAAGTGGAGATAAAAATTATTCTAAAAAAGTTAAAATTTACAAGTGTCAAAAATAATAAAAAAAATACAAAGACCAAAAATTAAATGATGCAATATTTACATAGACCCAACAAATATTTAATCTATTTTTATATATAAAAAATCATATAACAACATCAAAAAGTAACTGCAAAATGAAATTAGCCACCATGACCAAGCAAATCTGGGATGAGATATAATTTGCACCTTCTGGAATCTCGAGGGGTTTGGTCTTCTGAAGGGTTCTTCTGCTTGGCCAAATGACTTGCTGTTGGTCTCATAAAAGAGAAATCTTTTGAGTTTGATCGACTAGACTTCCTCAGATGCTTTGTCTTACCATTTAACAAATCTGCATTCAATCACCAAATTAAACGATAAATCAAAAAGTTTAAGAGAATCACATAAAACTACCAAAAAAAAAAAAAAGATCAGCGAATTTCATTCTACATACAAAACTAAAGTCCAGATTCAAAACATAGTAAACCATCTGTAAGAAATTTGATGAAGGCCCAACTTTCACATAAACGAAAAATATTCATGTTTGCAATGCAAAAACTTAGGCAAATGGTAATTAAATTTTTGTCAGAAAAATATTATTAATGCAGCTGATTCTTAATACATCCTATCTGATTTCTAATATATATAAAATTTTAATTTTTAATGCATTAACCAAGAAACTGATTAGCTAAATTCCGAAAACTTATAATAAAAATTTTGAGCTAAATTCATCAAAACGTTGTGACATCAATTTAAAAACAATGCAGACACAACGAAATGAAAAACTTTACCTCTGCTATCATCATGCTCAATGGCTGAAATTTGTCCAGGCTCCACGCAAGGACCAGAGTTTTCAGTAATGATATTCACACTTTCCATTGCACCGGAATTTCCCCATCTCAACTTCACGAGAAATGCTGCACAAAACAATAAATAAACCAATCAAAACTCTTTTTTTTTTGCCTTTTAGAAACATTTAATTGCAATGCAACAACAAAACATTTTCAAACATCACAAACAAGGTGTAATTTTCCTTAAATTCTTACGTGAAGGTGGATCACTAGCGGCGAATTCAAACCATTCCTCTGCTTCCGCGGCATCCCAAAACGCTTCTAGATGAGAGAAATCGTAGAATTGAGGAGCGTCGAACTCATAATCAATATCAATTTCGTGATTCCCACATAGAGGCGCGTATTCTACCTCAATCTCCTCGAACTCTTCTTCCATATTTCTCTCTCTCTCTCTCTCTCTCTCTGTGTGTGTGTGTGTTTCTCTCTCTTCAAAAGCTTAACTAGCCATGATTAAAACAATGCCACCCAATGGAGATTCAAGAGCAAGTTTTGATTTTTCGAAGTTTCCCCCAGCAAGGGTCTTCGTAGTTTCTCTCAAAGTTGGAATTGAAGAAGAAAAAGAGGGTGCATCAATGATGAACCATGCGAGGGGCAACGAAATTGTGATCATCAAATGAAAGACAAAGTGGAACGACTTTTGCAGCGTGGAATCCCCTCACCTCCTCTCTCGTTCCTGGGAAAATTCGTCGTAATTCGATTTTCCCGGAAAACGAGAGAGAAAGTTCGGAATGGAAATTAATTAATTATTTGAGTTTTTTTCTTAAGATTATTTTTTTCTTCTTTTTTGTGATGCTGTGGAACCCTAATAATTGAATGAAAAGAGGAAATGTTGTCGGAAGAGAAAATGTTCGGAGAGAATGGCGAAGATTTCGTTGTTGAGAGGGAAATGGCAGAAAGAGGAGAAAAACAGAGTTGAAGAAATGGGTTTGGTTAGTTTGGGTTTTTATATGCCGCCCAAGTTAGAGACAAGGTTTACCAAATTTTGAATTTTGTATTATGTGGGGTGATAGACTTGGATTTCACATATCTTACCACCTATAGAAATAGTATTTAAAGGAAAATATTTAATTAAGAGTGAATTAATGTAACCTCACATCTATTTATTCAATCTATTGTAATATCAATATGTTTTTTTATCATTTAATGCTGGAAAATAAAGTTAATTGGAGAAGTATTATCATGTTTAAAGTTTTTTTTTTTTTAATAATTCAAACATCTTTTTATTGTGAATTCTTGAAAAAATTATTAGAATAGATTAGTTTGATCCATGTTATTAGTATGCCACGATAATTCATGTGATTAAAATTTTATTGTAACAATTTTAAAGTGTTTCTCTTTATTTTGAAAATGTGGAAATATTATTTGTTTTTATCTTTTCGATTAACAACTTCATGAAGTGTTTTTATTCATGATGTTATTTTTAGAATTAGTTTCTATACAATTTTTATTGATATTCAATCTCTATCATTTTAAAAGAGTAAAAACTCAGTTCCTATTAGGGGTTAACTTTTACTAAAATTGTTAAACAATTGAAACTAATTGTTTACTCTTTTAAAGTGTTAAGAACTAAATATTAAATTTTTTATAGTAACTAATTTTAAAAATAACAATATTTATAAGGATTAAAAAAATGTTAAACTTTATAAAAAAATAACCATAAATTAGCTTATTTATTTATAAATTACAAGGATCTTGTATAGATTTTATAAATATAAAAAAGTTCTGTAACAAAGTAAAATAGAATGAAATTGAAGTATAAGTCACTCTTTTATTTAATATTTTTTAATGTGTTTAAATATATACAATATGTATATTTACACTTATAAATTCTCTTAATTACTTGATAAAATAGTTCTTAATATTTTTTCATATCTTTTAAGAGAATAAGTAGATATAAATTTTTATTTGATGTTTATCTTATAAGTTGTAAAAAACTTATTAGCAATATACAGCAAAGTTGATTTTTTTTTATTAAAAATCATCACATAATCTAATGCATTAATAACATTTAATGCTACAACTTTTAATAAACAAATATTATTTATTACTTTCTGTTTATATATTATTGGATAACATTTAAAAAATTGCTTATTTAACATTTACTTCAAAAGTAAATTAAGTACTTTACAGGGGATTGATTCCTAAAAACGATCAAGTAAATGTATATTTTTCATTTTTTGAAAACTAATATTTCCATTATTTGAGCTACTAAAAAATGACGTTGTATGCAATTTCGTATATCATTATTTTTATTTCTTATATTTTATCTTCTTTTTTTTGTATACAATGTTCCAAAAGGTACACTCCAAATGTCAAAAGGTTGTACCTCTTATATGTACATATATAATCTTTAATAATTTTGTAAACATATTTTTTTATTAAAAAAATTTTTGTTTTAAAAAATACAGAGAAATGAGGGCTTACTTTAGAAGGTCTTCTATTATATATGTGATAAAATAATGACAATAAATGTGCAATGCATGTTACTAAAATAGAGTTTGGTGGAAGAAAAATAAATGGAGGATTAAAGGGGTGGAAAAAAGAATAATCTTAAATGATTTGGATTAGAAAAAAGGAGTGCAAGAGATAAATGAGTAAAGAAAATGAAAATGCAGATTGATTCATGTGAGCTTAGAAAACAATCAAAACATAATTTTTAAATAAGATCATTTACCATATTTTAAAGGATGACTGTTACATATGTTTGATATATAATTCTTCTAAGCTCAACTTGTACCACTTTGAAAACTACTGTGTATATACAAAGAGGATGCTTCTCCAAACTTATATTGGTCAATTCTAATGTCTGTTTAGTATAAAAAATGCCCATTAATTTTGATTTTTATTATTTTACAATGTTGAAGTTTTACATTATAAAATAATTTTCACTCTAGTTTTTAGGGTTGAGATAGATTTAAAGTTCAAATATAATAAAATCATGATCAAATATATATTTTTTTAATTTTCTTTATATTTATATCAGTGTGTTTCTGCCTTTACAAATATAATGAAGAATTGTTTGTCATATGGTATCTCATATATTAAAATTTAAACATATTAATTACCAAAAAATAAAATTATCTCCCAAACATAATAGCAAAGAGTTTTTTTTTTTTTTTTTTCCCTTTTGTTTTGCATAAAGCCCCAGGATGATGAGAGTGTTATTTGAAGAAAATAATGGAAATCCTGAAAGCTTAAAATTAGTTTAGTGTGAATAAAGACAGAAGCCAAAAAAGAGAAAAAAAAACTTGTGTAAAATTTGAGAACTTTTCAATCATAAACATTTAAAATCTCAGTGCATTCAAAATTGAATTCAATTTTGTTTTCTTGTGACATTTGTTTATCTTCTCTTTCATGTAGTAAATCTCAAATAGATTTTTCCCCATATCCATAGGAAGGGGGGAACATGTCACACTTTCACATTTGACTTTAGTAAATTATGAAACCTGCATTTGTTGGAGTCATCTATGAGAATCCCCACAATCCTTCTATTTACATGTGTTTTTGAATTTTAAACAAATGCATGAAGAACAAAGAGAAAGATACAGAATGAGTAAAATACAATAAGGTCCTTTACCCTCATATATTCATAATGCAAAATCTAAGCCACTTGTTTGTCTCTACGTGGAAAAATATGGTTTGTGCCATGCAGCACGTAATGTGGGAGGTTTCTTCTAATTGTCTACAAATGGATTAAAGTTCCAATTATACCCTAACCTGTTATATTTCTTTGTACTTTAGCGAGAGGACATATTTGTCCTTTTCTTTAGAAGTGAAACGCTCCTACCAATTCAAAATTGTGCAGTCTTGGGGGTTGCGGATAACAACTAAGCGCCAACTACCCCTTTGTGATTTGTGTTGGACTTGTCTATGGTTTATTTTTGGGTAATTTTTATTTTGAATTATAAATTAGGAGAGTATTTTATGTTTTTTTATACAGTAAATAATATTAATAAATAATAAAGTTATTAATTTATTTTACAAAATATAAATATTTTTTAATTTTAAAGACACTCAAAAAATTACAATCATTAATTTAGAAATGATATACAATTTCCTTTTAAATTTACATGTATGGTAATAAGTATTTTATTTTATAAATAATGTTATCAACATGAATTACAAAAATTATTTAGGTTTTATTTTATTTTTTACTTTTAAATTAAGTTTTTATATTTTTTAACTTTTAATAAATTTTAACTAAGAATTTGTTACATGGAATGTTTTAAAAAATGGTTGCTAACATTCTCTTTCTTTTATTTTTTTAATTAGGTTAATGTATTTGTAAATCAGCAAAAGGATAATTCTTTCTAAGTAAAGTAATAACGTAAAAATGTATTAATTATTAATTTGTAAAAGAGAGATAAATATATTTTATTTTAGAATGATAAAATTTAGAGGTGTTAAAATAAATTATTTAGCTTAATTTAGATTATTTCAGTTTGAGTTTTAGGTTCATTAATTAGATTCTGTGTGTTCGTGTCTATGTATATATACAGGGGTGTATGGTGCAAAAACACTAGTTTAAAATGAAAAATAAAAACATTTAATTATAACTATTAGATTTAAGTAAATGATTGAAATTGATTTTTTAAATAAACGTTTTCACGTATATCCAACACTCACTTTATAGATTGTTTTTACTTGAAAAAAAAACCATCATGTATTGCAACTTATGTATGCAGTTGAATTAAATTAGAACTATAATGAAAAGATGAGTAGTAGTTTATCGTAATAGTTTATGATTTGTCAAAGGGATTTCAATTAAAAATAAGAATGATAAATAAATTAAGCAAAATACTCTTAAAGAACAAAGAGTGACAATAGATAAGAGAAAGGACTTAGTAGATAAAAATAGAACATATAAATGAAGCTTTTTGTGTAGATAGGAAATGAGGTATATCTCACATCTTACTTGAAAACAGAGCATATAAACTCAAATAATTAGTTCTTACTTGTTGATTGTAAGGATATGTTTCATTTCTCTTTTAAAAAGAGTTTTCAATTTTTTTTAAATACAATATAAATTTATACTATATTTAAAAAAAATTGAAAACTCTTTTAAAAATAGAAAACAAACATACCTAAGACTTTAACTTTCTTTTTTCATTTTAAAAAATTATTATGTCTTGCTATATTCGAAAAAAGCATAGAAAGTAAAAATAAAGCACGCAAGATCTGTAAGACATGATTGATATATCACGTGACAATTTTAATTCTAAAAACTAATTTCAATTATTTACTAAAATTTAATGGCTAAAATTAAATATTTTTATTTTTTAATTTAAACAAGTGTTATATGTATATATGTACAGACATATATATTAGTTAGTCTGAATATAACAAAAATAATGAAATTAATCTAAGCATAAAATTATATATATATATATATATATATATATATATTAATCAATTTATACAGGTTAATTGGATAGAGCCAATTTATTTTACCAATTACAACTAAATCTAACAAGCTATTAGTTTAATCTAAGTTTTTGTGAATTACGAGTTAAGCATAAAGTTGAAATTCAATATTTATGTTCTATAGATATCGATGATTTTTTTAATTATACTTTAATATAATTAATATAACACTAGTTTTTTTTTTAATTTATAAATACTCAAATTTTATGGTTAATACTCAAATAATATTAAAAAATAATGTGCTAAAAATTTCTTATAAAATTATATAAATAAAAATAGTTAAAATGATTTAACAATTATCAACAATGAAAGTAAAAAAAATAGATAAATATGTAATTCAATTTGATAATAAATTATTATATTTTATTTAATATTGTTTATAGTAATAATTCATGCTAAATATTTAATATTATACAAATTTAATTCTTCTTTATCTATTTTTTAAGTAATTTTTTTTGTGTTGAAGTTTTTCTTTGACAAAAAATAACTTGTTTAATACCCTAAATCGAAGCATGCAACCGATCAAATTTTTTTTTTACTTAAAACAGTTTTATTCCCACAATTTCCTCCAATCCAAGCCTTCTATCCAATGACCTAGGCATTCATACGCTGTGTTCACTAGTCAAATATGGATGCACCCGCTGAAATTCTTGTTCCAAAGCCTTCCTTATTCACCACTACTGTGAGAATTTCTAGTGCCTTATGTGTTGAAGTTGTAGCTTTGGAGATCAGACACAGAAACGATCTAGGAAACCAAATAAACAACATTCAAAACTCTGCAATGGCCTTCATGAATAAGCACATGGGCTTTTGTGTGTCAATTTAACTGCAGGAGTAGCTTACCTTAGTCATATCATACCTGTCTTCTTCTATGTACTCATTGCTGGTAGACCAAATTCATAGTAAATTGACGTACCCCATTGCCAATATTCCTTACTATGATGTTGCAAGAGCAAATCTTATAATGAGAAGAATCTATTCTTTGAAGGTGCAGCTAGTAAGCACAAGCATAGAGTTCCACGTAACCAAATCATGACACGCAAAAACACCATCAAACACTCTCTCGGCATCTTGCAAAGAACAGCACTCCGAATATGCCGTGATAGCAGCATTGCTGACAGTGTTAAACAATTCAAGCCCAAGTTTCACAATTTTACAATGCAACTGCATTGCCAACCCATCAAACTCAGGATCATAAAACAATGTCAAAAGTGGAGACACAGTGCCATCATCAATCTCCACATCCTCAACCTCCATACACCTTAGCACCCAAAACGCCACGTCACGATTGCCAACTCATGAATAGCCGGCAACTTGCGTGTTTCACGACACATAATTGCGTTCCGGCATCATCAACACCTACACTTGGCATCCATGTCCAGGTGGACACAACCAGAAAACACGTTTTTGATAGTCCCATCTTGAGCATAACGGAATGTGGCTGTCAAGGGCAAGTGCAGGCCTTCTCATGGCACTGAGGAGCCGCCACGTTTTGTCGAGGTTACCAGAGTTAGCATAAGCGGAGATGATGGGTTCCAAGAGACAGTGTCTCAGTGGGGCGTTTGGTCGAAGAGTTTGTGGGCGAGGGGTAATTGTGTGCATTTGGCATAAGCAGTTAAGATGTTGTTGGCAATGTAAAGGTCTGCGATGGAGCCTAAGGCAATGGATTGCTTTGAGGCCCAGCAAAGTGAGGGACTGCAACCTCTTCATTCTTCACGGAGCGGAGCGGAGCAGCTCCCTGCCGGCGACACAGAGTGCATAGCGTCCCCGTTTTGTGTAAGGGCGGGAACGCCGCGAATCGCTGAAAATCGCGGCCGTTGCGACCGCTATTTTATGCACGATTCAAATGTCAAATTTACCCTTGTCTTTTAACATTTGAAGGCTTTCAAAGGGGGGCAATTTTTGGATTTCGCTTCCCTATTAAACTGTGAATTCCTTTTGTATCATTCGAATCTTGAACTCGAGTGCTCCCACTTCTGTTTCGTTATAGTCATCTTCTACATTTCCATCTGCGCAAAGGCCTTTTCCGGTAAGACCACTCTGTTTTGTTCTATTTTTTGTTCTGTTCTGACTTCTGAGAAGTCCTCCAAACGATTGAAATTTGAAATCTTCAGGCTATGTATGTGTAGCATAATCTATATTTCGTGGATTTTAAATTTTAGAATAGCTTGCTCGGTGCTAGCTGTTTGTTTCCTATTCCTGGGATTTGGGAGTATGTAGAACTTCGTCTCCTTTATTTTGCAGTATGACTCAAAGTTGCAAAGGAGCCAATACCACCGCAAACCATCGTTGGTGCTTATAGCTGCAGAAATTCTTGTGCCCTTGCTTGCTGTATTCCAACTATTTTTCTGAAAGGCATTGCTTTCCTGAAGCTTCATGTCGTGACTGTCATTATTTATCGAGATTCTAATTTTTAGATTTAGTTAAAATTGGTGTGTATAAATATATACACACAATGATCTTCCCATACTACCCTTACTAAAACCCTAGCACTAACACCTTCTGACGCTCATTGGGTACCAAAGCAACCACTCTGTTCTCTCGTGTCTTTCCGTGTGCGGGTGAGTGAGGCCAACTTTCTTTAAAATCTTCTCTGTATTTAATTTCCACGCTCTGCTCTATTGCCGGTAATAATAATATTAAAATGTCAACAATCAAGTTAAGCTTCACCCATTTTCACACTGTTATATCTTGGAATGGAATGTATTATGGGTCTATTTTTTATTTTTATTTTTTAAATTTGAATCCATCCAATTCAATTTTTGTCTTAGGCTGAACAAGGTGTTGCAATTTTCTCCAATTTAAAACTAAATACTGTTAAGTTTCTGGCAATTTCAGGTTTAACTACTTTATACTATAATCACTAAATTAAATTAGGTAGTTTTGGAATTTGGATAAATTTATCAAATGCTTGAATTATCTCAGACACGAGTTCAAGAAACTGAATAGCTGAAAGACACAATCAATGCTGATGAATGCCAATGATAATAGTAATAGTGTTTCTGCTGGATATTTAAGATTGCTTCTTTATTAGAGATTTGAGTCCAATTTAACATAAGGGTATGTTGAATGAATATTTGTTATTTAATGATTAATTGAGATAGAACGAAAGTTTAGAATATCTACATATTGGGAATTGAGTGTTTAAACATATGACATGTTTAGTTATGTTCTTTTAAAAATATTTAATAATTATATCCCATTCCTTGTTTCAAACATAGCCACAGCTTCTACCCTTATCGACTGGTGACGATATATGCAATCACCACCCTACGCCCTGCTGTGACCATCTTCTAAAGGAGCAGTGATATTGGAAGAGTGCTTAAACATGTCTGCTTCTCTGTCACAAACAGAACAAATGTCAATCTCCAAAGAGTGTGAAGAATGCAAATGTAATCCATGGAAATACAAGTGCCCTGGTTGCTCCTTACACTCATGCAGTCTTCTTTGTGTCAAATCCCACAAAGTGCGTACTGGTTGTACTGGAAAGAGGAACCAGACTCAGTTCATTCCTCTTTCTCAGTTTGATGACAGTCTCTTATTATCTGGTAATTTCTATTCTCCTTTTTAACATTCCCAACCAACCTTTGTCTCTAGTTGATTGATTGCATAAGCATAACAATTTTACTTCTTATTGCCCTTCAAGTCAACCAAAAGAACCCCTTTCAGTGAATTATATGGTTATGTTAGAGGAAGACACAATCTTTATGAGATACTAAGAATTACTTTTTCTTTTTCTCTCTAACTTGATCAATTTCTGTTGTTCAATGACTGGGGAAGACCCAAATCCTTTTTTAGTTATTCAGATATTTTACTTGAGTGTTTCTTCTTGATTTAGTTTTCAATATTTTTTATGTGGAATTCTTTTTTTCATGTTTGCCCTTTTGCATTTTTCATGTTCTTCATTCATCATGTTTGTTGCTGCTGCTGCTGCTGAATTTTTCTAAATGTGTACTACTGCACATGTATAGTTTTTTTGGTGAATTCTTCTGATTTCCCTTTATCAGAATCTTAGTATTTATTTTGTGATTTCCTCCATCTAGACTATACTTTGCTTGAGGAGGTGAAGAGAGTGGCTGAATCTGCTCAGAGAATGAGAACTAAATTGGGCATGTATGCATATTTCAAGTTACCGCATCACCTTAAAAGCCTTCGAAGTGCAGCTGGAAGCCGGAGAACCAAACTACTGTTTCTCCCAAATGGAATGTCAAAAAGAGAGAAGAATCAGTCTCGATATGACCAAAGGTATTTTTGTCATTCATGACAAACTTTTGTTGCATTAGGAGGATGGTACATTGAAGTAATTTCCTCCTTTTGATGTTTCTGTGTAGCTGAGTATAGGTTTTTATCAAGTTATGATTTCTTCTGAACACATTGATTTCAGAGGGAAATTTAGATTATAAGAATGTGTCACTTTTAGATTGCTAAGGTGGTTACGTCTGTTTGTTTTAATTAAAAATATGCGTGGACGATGATTTCAGGAAGAAGTTTATATCTTGGACAATTGAATGGCGTTTTCACTTAACAGACATTGTTTTACATGACCACAGGTGAGCCAATTGGATGGTGGCTTTGATTTGGATTAAAATACTGTCCCTTACATTCTTATTGCATGCCTAGTGTCTATTGAATATAGTTCTGATAGGATATTATGCTCGTGTTTACCAGAGTCAATGAAAATACAAGCTTTTACTCCATTCTAGAGAAGCACCTCAAACCTGGTCCTTGGAATCATCAGCTAAGGCAATTTTGTGAAGACCAATTGGATACTCTCAAGCTTTTCATTTGCAAATATCCAAAGGTGGTTTTCTTTGCCTTTTCTATGGTTGAAATTCAGGATATTGAATTGGCAGACTTGTAGGATCAGATTGATTGAAAAGATGCGAATTTATTGTAGTGATTTATTTTATCTTGTTTGTGTTAATGCAGGGTCCCCGTTCACCCTTCAAAGAGTTAGATATGAAAGCTCCCATCAGACAGCAATTAGCAAATATAGCCATTTTGGAGTTTCCCGTTGTTTTTATTTTTTTGCCTTCCCACAAAATCAATTTTGAAGTTATTAAGGATGTCAACACCAATGTACATAAATCACTACAGAAAGAAGCTGATGGCAACCAAAGCCTGGAAGGTGTATCATTTAGGGAGGAGATGATAGAGGATGACAACTCGGTAGATCCTAAGGTATTTGATCTCATGAAACCTGTGGATTCAAGTTCATCACATCGAGTGCTTACCCAAAATATGAGTTCTGAGAAAGCACCAAATGATTCCTCAGATATATCTCTGTTTGAAGGAGACACGGGGGGTAATCTCTCACATTCTTTGACGGAAACCAAGGAACTAAAATTCTCTGAAGATATGGCGTTTGAATTTGATCAAGATTTTATGGATATCTATACTGGTCTTTTGGATCAAACAAACTCCAATGACTTTTTTGATTTTGATAGTGAATTTATCAAGACAACAGAAAATGACATAGATTTCCTTGGTTCCGATGGAGTATTCCCTTTGCCAGCTGAATTGGAGGAAGGGGAAATTCCAGAATAATTGATAGCTATAGTTCACTTCGGTTGAAGAATTGGACAGAAAATGAGAGAACATTGACAACACCAATTATATTGTATGTTTTGAGGTTGAGGTCCATTGCTTTCAAGAATGATTTGGAGCTGAGATTCCAATTGTGTGGACATGATTGAAAAGCTCATACTTTCATTTATATTGAGCATGACAGAGATTTCAAATTTTGTAATGAATCTTATGATTGATCCTGATAAGGAATGGCTGCGATTTTCAGATTCGATGCATTAATCACTCCTGAAATCCTTTCAGTATAGGCAAGCTTCAGCTCTGCATGAGAATTAAAAGAGAGCACAAAAAGCTGTGGGTGCTCTGGTTTAGGTTGTTTACTCATAATCAAAGGTCATGTTTTGATGTTTGAACCAAAAAAAGGGTTAAGTTTTGATGTTGGATATTACTTTGGTTTGTTAATATACGTTTAAGGTGGAACTGATTTCAAGTTAATAGACAATTTTTCCAATCTTTGCATTTTCCTATTTAGTTGTTTTCTTTCTCATCTTCTGGTAAACACAGCCACTATATGTCATGCATAATTGCATTATTTCTTCTGAAAAAAAAAAAAGTTTTTAAAGCTTTTTCCAGAAAGCTGCAATAAAATTTCTTTAAATGAGTTAATTTAAGCACGCTAAAACTTTTTGGCAGTATTGGTGGTGTCACTTGAGCAAGTTAAAGAATAAAAGAAAAGCTGTAGTGTACAATTTGAGTGGTTGTAAAATAATCGTACTCTACTGTGGCAATTATATAGGAATGTGTCGTTTTTACACAAATATCGGCCTCCAATACACACCAGTGTATGCAAGTTACATGAATGTCATCCATTATCATTTATTAAATATAAAAAGCACATGAATTTGGATATAGAAAAATAAAAACATTTCATCAAATATGCACCAGCCGGGAATCGAACCCGGGTCTGTACCGTGGCAGGGTACTATTCTACCACTAGACCACTGGTGCTGATGATATACAATGATGATATTTAAATAATGATGCTCACAGAGTGACAAAGATGTATCTATTTACTTTAGATGAAGCCAAGCCATAGCTCGCACAAGTAAACACAAATTGACGTTTTGACACCCCTTTTGTATCTTAAATGGCAATTCTAATTCTACCTTTTCATGTATGGGAATGATAACTTTGAGTTTCTTAAAGCATCTTCTTACTTGATAATTGAAAGACTAATTTTTAACTGTAGAATCAAATGCTGAAATAAGGATTTTTGTAATAGTATTTTTATATGCAAATGGATCCTGAGAGCAATTCAAGACTATATACTTATGAGAGCTGAATTTCCTATTTTTAAACCAACATATGTTGAAAGAATTAGAATTTTTAAGTTTCATAAAAGAATTTAAACAGCCATAATCTGATTTTAGTAATTCTTTAGGATCTAAATTTCCTTTTTGAGTCTTGAAGGTGCATATCTTTTTCCTTTTCTTTTTTAAAGCAAAAAAAACTGTGATTTCAAGTAAAATTAAAATATATTTATTATCTTTTATGTTTTTAAAAATGATAAATGTTATTTATATTTATATTATTTTAGATACAAATATATTTTTTGTCTAGAAATTGTTGGAAAGAGATAATACCTCCAATCTTATTGGGCAGGGTCCATAGTCTTCAACCACAAGCAATTTTATCCAATTACAGCTACTCAACTAACCCTTGGGTGCCAAAGGATCTCTTTGAGGAGTGATGCTCACCAAGCAAAATTTTGGATGGGTTTATAGGCATTTAAATCCAGGCATATGACAAAGGAGATTTTTTTTTCTTTTCTTTCCAAATCCTCAATCATTTGTGCCAACCTACATTATGGTTATTTTTGTTTTGTTTTTTATTTTCACCTTCTTTCAAATTTACAATATACAAGCATACTTGTTACTTGATATGACTTTTTAAAGTAGTTTATTTTTTTCAATGATACAATACAACAAAATTGTTTGGGTGGGAATTTTTTATTTAATTCATAGTTTGAAAATTTATTTTAAAAGTCACATTGTATTTTCAAATTTTAAATAAAAAATAAGAATATTTTTCTATTTTTATTTTAAAATTTCTTTTAAAGCACTATTTAATGTGAGAAAATATTATTCTATTTTTATCTTCTTTTAAACTTTTAATTACAAAAAAGTTAAATTTTTTAGTTTTAAATATTTGTATAAAAATAAAAAATATTTTTGTATTATTTCCTACAAATATTTTTAAAAAATAAAGTAAAAATTAAAATTTTTATTCACCTAAAAAAATTAAATCCAAATAGGCTTAATCTTTTTTCACAGTTTAAGGTGTCAAAACTATTGTTAAAAATTATTAAACTGGTTTTCTGATTTTTTTTTCATAAAATAAGTATATACAAAATTAAAATTAATAAAAATAATAATTTATTGAAAATTATTAAAAATTTTATTTCTATAAAATAATATTAAGTATTTCAACCAGTCCATACTCCATAGGCATATTTATTGATTAAATACTATTTTAACATTCGATTGTGATAACTTTTTTTTTTACTAGTTCATCTACTCTAATGGATTATTAAACATAGAACACTACACGTACAATCGGAAAAGATTAAATTTGAAAAGACACATTGTAATCATAAAACAAATTCTCGTAAGCCCATTAAGGTTGTACACATATTTGGATAGAATCTCAGCATAATCCCTCATAAGACCATACCATAAACCAACAAAATCCAATACCAAACAAAATCACCCTCTTTAATCTTTGTTTCTTCCTCCTCAAAATAAAAACAAACTTCTTAATAACTGTATATAAAACATGATTGTTAAAAAATAGTTTAATTTTAATGTACTAAAAGTAATTTTTTTATATTATTAATTATTTAAAATATATTATAAATATAAATTTTATATTAATTGTACTTTAAACAATATTTGTTTTTTGTTATGTGATTGAAACAAATATTAAAAAATTGGAAAGTAAAAACAAAAAATCAGGGACCTGCATTGTTCACAACTAGGAGGATCCCAAGGCGAAGGAGATAATGGTAATAACAATAAAAGAGACACCAACACACACACACACAACACTGGTTGGTTCGTTGTCGTTGGTTCTTTCTTTCTCTGTTCTTCTTTTCCCTCTTCGTTCTGCAACCACACAAACCAAACCCACCATCACACTCTTCCTCTTCCACCACTACCGGGTCAATGACCCAAGCCCGAAAACCCACCAACCCAAAAAACCAAACCCGAGAAAGCCAAAACCCTTCTTCTTCTTCGTCTTTCTCCAATAGCGGCATGAAACTCATCGTTCCCCTTCAAGGTGTCGTTCAAGGCCGTGGTGGCCTCCTTCTCGGTACCCTGGTCCCCTGTGCTCTCTTTTACTTCCTTCAACTCTACCTTAAACGACGTCGGTCCAATTTACCCTCTTCCACCGAACCCAACCTTCCTCGTACCTCTTCCCGCACTAATTTGTCGACCCGTGGATCCATTTCCCGGGTTCAGGTCTCGAGGCTCGCAACCCAGATTGCAAAACCCGAGGATTCTCCCTATTACGTTGGGTTGGATAGGGTTTCGGAGGATTTGTATGATGCAGTGAATAACCCAGATGGGATATTGCAATTGGGTTTGTCGGATAACAAGGTTGGTTCTTTTCGGTTTGTACGATGTTTTGGTGGGTTTGGTTTTCTGGGTGTGTTCCTAATGTTGGTTTTGTTGTTGTTGTTGTTTGTTGAGGTGGGTGTAGCTGTGCTTGGATTTGATTGGGGAATGGGTGGAAAGGAACTTGAAGGGATCGGTGATGATGGGGAGTGGTGGCGTTGCTTTGGGTATTAATGGGATTGCGCCTTATCAGCCCTTTGATGGGTTGGAGGAATTGAAAATGGTAAGGGAATTTTGCGTTTTCCAGTGATTTTGTGCTTCATGGTAATGTTTGAGCTGCTGCTACTACTTGTGGTGATGTTCTGTTTGATTGGTTCTTCTGCATTGTTATATACTTCTGTTTGGAAGGGGGGGAGGGGTGATGGAGTGGATTACTTCACTTGTTCAGAGGGATATTTGCCTGTTTTTTGAAAATCATTTGCATTCTCATTCTGCATTGTTATTTAGGTTTCAGGTTTTGGTTTTTGATAGCTTTATTGATATTTGTTGAGTGAAGCACCATTTTGGTCTCTTAAAGATTCGGATTCAGCACATTAGTTTCTGAAAGGTGGAAATCATCGTTTTTGTCCTTGAAAGATGAAAATGTAGACCAATTTAGTATGAAGCACAGACTCGGACACAGATACTCTAACACGGTTAATTTCCAAAATATATGACACCGGGACACTGCACGCCCGCGTGTACATACAGACAATATATATTGGTCTCTCTACAAAAAAATTCACAAAATAAAGTAAAATTATACCTTTCAAATTAAGGCATATTGACCTTTTCAAACTAGTATATTAAGTTTTATATGTTTTCAAGATAACAAGCCTTACAAAAAAAAGTTAAGAGGCATTATTTTATAATATTTTACATTATATTTTTACCTAATTTTCTAGAAGTTCATCTTTTTTAATAATATTTATGTGTATCTATTTATACTGAAGTGTTGGCTCAGGTTTCCGAGTTGTATAGAGGTGTTGACTCAAGTGTTCGAGCTAATTGGTTTTTTTTAACTAAATACCTAATCAGAAGTGTCAGACACGTGTCTAGAAAGTATTGGTGTTGGAAACGTGTCTGACACCATGACACTTTGGACAAGAGTGGTGTCCATGCTTCATAGTACTTTCAGGGAGTACAGTAATTAATATTTTTTTTCATTTTTTAAGGGACCAAAGCAGTAATTTTCTTTTTTTTAGGAGTAATGTGACTGATTACAAATCTTTTAAGGACAAAATGATATTTTACTCCATTTGTTGGTGTTATTGTTATGTTGTAATGGGAATGCTAGCATTTGGGTGTGAGTGGGACAGTTGGCATAGTGTCATGTGAATCAATTAGTCCAAAAGTTTAGACAATTTGTTAAAGATACAGCAATGGTGTGTTATAGCATTTCTGACATGATCCCTTGTGCAAGAGCTCTTTGGGCATGGAGCGTGAATAATGCAGAGGCCAACTTACCTTATGCTTGATTTCAATTTCAACCTTTTCCTTTTTCTTTTTTTAATTTTTACGAAGTATGGGAGCAGTAACATAGAACTCTAGACCAATAGGTCATAGAGGCTCTTATACTATGTCATGATCAATCATTCCAGAAGAGATAAAGGAATAAGAATGGTCTTAAAGCATTTCTAACATAGTGGAGAAGTGAAAATGTTATCTTGACAAATGTTATTGTTACACCCGTGTCTTGGAGGTGGTCCCAGTGGAGCTACAAACTTATTAGCTGATAGGTTTTAATTTAATTATTATTATTTTTAGTGTATCTTGTTTCTCAATGCTAAATGAAGAACTTGAGGGTTTAGTAGTGAACAGACATTTTGGTTTTAATTAGAGTTATTTGTTGTTTTAAAGATAACAATTTAAATATTGTCTTTTGTTGGTTATTTAGGCAATATTTGATGGTGGAGTTGGCCATTAGTTGGTTACTGTTCTATTACAATCTTTTATATTTGTACTTTCTATGTTCAAATTTGGTTCATTTAAGGTCTTGCTGTTGCTTTATTTGTATGATAAATTTTTGTTGTTCGCTTTGATTTTGCAGGTTTTGTCAGATTTTATGTGTCAGGTGATGGGAGGATCAGTAAAATTTGACCCATCTAATATGGTACTAACGGCTGGAGCAACTCCTGCAATTGAGATACTATCCTTCTGCTTGGCAGACCATGGAAATGCATTCCTTGTCCCTACTCCTTATTATCCAGGGTACGTGATAGCACTTTCTTAAGCTCTTGGTTTGAATTTCTTGGGCCAATTTTTAAAGCTAATTTAAAAGAAACTATGCAGCTTTGACAGGGATGTGAGATGGCGTCCGGGGGTACAATTAATACCTGTTCACTGTCGCAGGACTGACAATTTCAATCTAACTATCACTGCTCTACAACAAGCATATAATCAAGCAAGAAAACGAGGTGCCAAAGTTCGTGGAATTTTGATTTCCAATCCTTCAAATCCTGTTGGGAATGTTCTGACGCCAGGCACACTTAACAGTCTTCTAGACTTTGCTGAGGAGAAAAACATTCATATCATTGCTGATGAAGTATTTGCAGGTTCCACATATGGAAGTGAGAAGTTTGTGAGCCTAGCTGAAATTCTCGATTCAGATTGTATAGACAAAAGTCGAGTGCATATAATATATGGCCTGTCAAAAGACCTCTCGCTTGCTGGCTTTAGAGTTGGGGTTATATATTCTTTCAACAACCGGGTTTTGGCTGCTGCAAAGAAGTTGAGTAGATTTTCCTCTATATCTGCTCCGACCCAGAGGTTAGTTAGTTCAATGCTTTCAGATAAAAAATTTATTCAGGACTACTTTGAAGCCAACCGGAGAAGATTAAGAAAAGTGCATGATGAATTCGTGATTTGTTTAAGTAAACTAGGAATTGAGTGTGCCAAAAGCAGTGCTGGTATGTACTGTTGGGCTGATATGAGTGGATTTATCCAACCTTATAGTGAGAAAGGAGAACTTGATTTATGGGAGAAGTTTTTGTGTATTGCTAAGATCAATATAACTCCAGGATCAGCCTGCCATTGCATAGAGCCAGGATGGTTTCGAATCTGTTTTACCACTATAACATTTGAGGAGATACCTCGTGTTATTGAACGGATTAGGCTAGTTGTTGAAAGTTGTAAATCTTCTAGTTGAAGTTCCATTATTTTTATTGACATATATGGTTAATGCCTGATGTTGCAGTCAGAAGTTGCTGTTTAGAAATTTTTGGAAAAGAATGTATACATCCCTAGTTATCAAGTTCTGCTGTCTTGCGGAATCCAGGATTTTATTGCATTGCAGGAGAAAATTTTTCTTACAATGCAAAGTCTCAACAGAGTAAACTCAGTTTCCAATTTAAAATGAATTTTGGTGTAAGACCAGTTTTGGCCTTGGAAAGTAGTCCTTAGACTTTCCTTCAATCGACCTGCCTAATACGGTTCCAGTCTTGGAATGGTAGTAATTCTTGAGTAGTCCTTCATCCATATTACTGGTTTTTAAGGTACAGCATCCAACATGTTTCTTATGATTTTGAGGCAAAAAGAGTAAAAGTTGGTTTGAAATGTAGGGAATCAATTTTGATTCGAATTTTTTAATTTTGTAGATTCTCAATATTTCCTTGTTAGAAAAATTGATTTTCAACTTTTCTATATCAAAAGAGACTCCAAAGGAGTGTGTTTAACTTGCATTTTGGAATAATAGGGGAAGAATGCAACTTTACTTAACAAAAATTGGGCAATTGTCCATTGGGGGCAGTTTTCTCATTTTAATCATAGTAAATTTTATGACAATTGTCCATCTTAAGTCTGGAGGATAAAATAAGGAGGACAAACTTAAAATGCATTCTAGGAAAGAAGCATTAATTGTTCTTGACTTACCTGTTGCATAAACGAGGAAGAAGTTTCAACATGGTGATGATATCTATAAAAAGTTAGTTGTTTTCTTAGAGAGGGAAGCAAACTAAAAGATTAATCTATTTTAAGGCAATGTGTGGAATTTTGGTCATCTGTATTTCTTTGTTTATAAAAAAGAGTCTTTAAAGACATTCTTCTATTAAAGCAAAGAATGACCCATAGTAACGTCACACACCTACGCATGCGTTTTAATATCTCAGTTTGGTGTAAGGAGAAAGATGCTTTCATGATATTAATGGGCCGGCCCAAAAATTAGATATAATCAAACTAAATGGGCCACACTATGAAATAATAGGAGAACTAAGAAGCAGTTTGGTTTCAGGAAATTTTTTCTATTTTATTTTTGTTTTTATTTGATTTTTAACGATTAGCACAATAAATATTGAATTTTCTTTTTCTATTTTTGGTGTTTCCTGTACAAATCTTAGAAAACAGAACCAGAATGAAAATAAGATGACTTTGTAATTAAAGGTGAGAATAGAAAATGAAAACAGAAAACATTTTCAAAAATCAAATACACCCTAAATTAATACACGTTAATGTTAAAAAAACATAATATTGTGCTAATTTGCATGACATGCCTTGGAAGATTCATTATTGTAGATTGGATAAGAGGGCAAAGACGAAACTTCCCAATTAGGTAGTTTCTTCTTCACCTTTCCAACTGTAAAGAAAAAGTGTTCTCAGTTGATTCTAGAGTCTAAAAAGGGAACACCAATATATAAACCTATATTACAAGTTAAGGACTTTAAGAGATGCCTTCTCATGATTAACATTGTGTCAAAAGAAAACTCTAGAAAACACTAGTTTAGGATATATATGAGGTGAATTTTTTTTAAAACAAAATAATTATTAGGTGAGATTTATATATCTTTGCTAAATAATGAGTGAGCTTTACTAAATGAAAAATAACACCTATGACACTTAGAGAGATTTATATGAATTCAATTTACTAATAAATGGAATATTATAAAGTATGTTGTCAATGTTTTTCTTTCGTGTATTGTACTAGTATTTAAAAGCATACATGATATATACATAATAAATTTAAAATGAAATATTTAAAATTATAAAATACAAAACATAATTATATCAAATAAAATAAAAAAATAGATTAAAAAGAGAAAATATTTAAAGTTATTATTGATGCAAGGATCTGCATAATTAAGTAAAAAATAATTTAAGGATATGCATTATTATTATTTAATTATAAAATATTATAACTTAAAATTTGAAAGTTATTTACATGTATTATTATTTAATAACTAGATTAAGATATTCAACTGCTCTGAAAAAAATGTTTAATATTTGATGATTGATGATATAAGAAAAACTTAATTCTAACCACATTTTGTATATATTAGGGGTGTTGAAATATAAAAATAATCAAATCAAACTGAATTGCATTTTTTTATAATACTATTATAATATATATATTTTTTTATTCTACCTCCAAGCAAAACTAAGTAGCCATCGCTTATAGTGAACAAAAGTTATTATAAGAAATAATACTATTAAGAATGCTTGAAGCCTTAAGTTGTTGAGGTGTTAAAAGACCAAAATTTCATCATTACATAATAAAGCAAACTCAGGTCTTTAATTGTAATCTATTACGTTTATACTTTTAATTGTTGTAACAAATAAACTAAGCACTAAAGTAATTAGTTCCCTGAGAAAAATATGCAAAACAATAAAACTAAAGGTAAAAAGAAAAAAAATGCATAGGTAATTTGTGCTAAATTGAAAAGTGTTGATGCAGTATTTTACGCAATATCACCAAAATTTGAATAAATAAAATTAAAAAAACAAGTCATTTTATTTAAGTCAAACCACTTTTAATTAAATTAATCAAATTTGATATTTAAACTTTATACATTTCATCTTCTTTATTACGGTTTTTTTAACTTTTGAAAAATTTGTACATAATAAGAAGACACACCCAATTATTTATATTCATTAATATTATAATATTTCACTATTTATTGTATTTATTATCCTATTTATATTACTCATGTTTTATTTTAATAAAATATTTGATATATTAAAAAAAGACTAGAGTCAAAATTAATTATAAAAAAAAATAGAATTATTTAAAATTACATGAGAAATATTAACATCACACTTTTAGTTATTGGTTAAATTTTATTAAAAAGTATAAAAATTATATGTATTTCACTAAATTATGTTTTTACTTACATTTTTTAGTTTTTAATAAATTTTAATTAATAATTAAAAGTGAAAAAAATAATGTTACGGGCGCTTCTCAAAATTACATTGTTGTTTAGAAATTAAAAAAAATTTATATAAACATATCTTTTTATGTCATTTTACTTTTATCAATTAGTTCATAGTTAAATTTATCAAAATACTTTGTTTATCAAATATTTCTAATTCAATAAACTATTATAATAACTTTTAAATAATTTTTTTTAAACTTTTACCAACTCTTTAATTATTTTTATCAGACATACCTTGACAAGTCTTTCTAAGTAGTTTATAACTTGTAACTTTGTATGACTTAAAATAGAAATATTTGATAAACGAGCCTATTTCACTAACTTACAACTTATTTCAGATTTTACCTGAATCACATAACTTGTTATTATTCTTAATTTGTATCAGCAGTACTTTAAGGAAAAATTTTCTTTACCATTATTTTAATATCATACTATTTATCTTAATAAAAATTTCCTTTTAATATCACACAATTTATTTTTTGTTATATTATACTATTTGTTAAGTTGTTAATAAAATATTTATTTGAAATAATTATTAGAGTTCAAAATTAACCAAAACCTTGAATAATGGCGTCTTTATCTTATTCTTTTAATATCACTAATGTTTCTGAAAGTCCCAATACTGATGTTTGTGGTGATATGGTTGTTACCTCTCACACCAACACTAAGAACATGAACAAGAAAAAGAGGTGCAAGAGTAGCTACAAAAAGGTTGGATTAATAGGGTTCGAGTGCCATTGAAGGGATGTGTGTTTTGTGGAAGGATATCCATGTGAGCATGCATGCAAAGTGAATTTAAGAAAAATGTATTTTTTATAATAGATAGGAATTATCAATGTATCATGAATTGTCAGCTTTGAGTTTCTTTCTTACTCATTATTATGTGTCATTTAACATTACTTCCTTGTTATTAATTTGGGTATTATTCTCCTTTCACCCTTATGTTACTCTTAAGATAAAACAATTTCCTTTTCATGATGGGATGTTATGCATTGCTTTATCTTTCCATCCATGATGAGTTATTTATGTATTTGATTTTGTATAAAATTTGAATAGTATTATTATATTTTTTATATCAATGTTTCTTTTTTGATCTCTTCCCATATCTTTTCCTGCACTGCTTTCTCATCTCTTTTTATATATTTCTTTGTTATAGAAATTATTATGAAAATGTGAAGAAGGAATAGCATTGTTCTAAAAATTTTACTAAATAAATTGAAGAATTATTAATGATGTAGATTATTGATTTTTTTTATTTTTTATTTTTACGAATATGAATAGATGATGCCAGAGAGTGAATCAAAATGAAACTTAAATTTAATGTTATTTTTTGATAAATGTGAGCAGAGATGAACTTTTAGGTACAACAGATAGAAAATGGAACTTGTAGTTGATTGCATCGAGATAAAAAGGGCCTTCCAACTTGGACTATTCTTTGGACTGGCTTGGAATTATGGGGTTGCACTTGCATTATTTCATATCATGTAAATGGTAAACCCAATCATGTTTTGGCCCACTTGCATCAAGCTGTCACCACCCCATGGGAGCAACAACAGTTCACGGTCAAATTCCTTGAGAACCTCTTCTCATAGATCTCAAGATGTCTTCAATTTTTCTCTCTCTTTCTTTCCTTTAATTAAGAATTTATTTATTTTTTCTACTCAACAGTGACCAAATAAAAAAGAAAGAGATCATCGAACACTTAGATTAACTGGTAAGGATTGTTCTATTTTAACATGTGGTATCAAGTTTTAGTCCAAAAAAAAAACAGTTGTGTTAAAGAATATATGTGGTATAGAAAAAAGAAGAAGAAAGAGTATGATTTTTTTTCTACCCAGAAGGTAGGGTTCAATCTTTCTATCTATTATTCCCACGTAAGTTGCATTATAAAGAAATACAAACAGTTGCTTGGCCAATGATGTTCAGTAGGGCCCCAGAGTTATAAATATTGAAAAAGGGGATTACATTTACTAAAAACTTGAACTAATTGGACCACTTATTATTTGCAAAACTGTGATTTTTGTCTGCTAGTAAAAGGAAGATCCTGAAAAAGAAGAAAAAGGTCAAGAAAAGAGAGCTCAGGAAACTAAAAATTAACAATGGATGCTAACAAAGTTGAGCGCAAAAAAAAAATGGATTTTGTCCTCTTTAGATGCTTTTGCATAATTTAATCAAATAATTAGAGTCCAGTACTGCTTCACAATATTTTTTGATATGGGAATGATTGCCCCATTTATACCTCCATGCTTTTTTCCTTTTCATTGTTTTCTTGTGATAAATAAGTAATTAGAAGCCATCGGAGAATCAATACACATAATGGTAGAGGAAAATGATACACTTTGTCCCAAAGATATATAAATTCATCAACTAGGTAATAACCAAACACAATGTTCCAAGAATATCCAGAATACGGGATAAACTGATCAAGATCACTCCCAACAAATAAAAGTAAAAAAATGCTATAGTTTTCATAAAATCCTACAATCAAATGAAGTGGGATAAACGAGATGGAAGATTAAGTTTTGTATTAGTTTCCTGAACTTAATGAGCTTAGGTTGCCATAATCTTGCTACAAACAACGTTTCTTCCTATTGCCTTTTTTTTAATTGCACTGTTATGATTTGAAACTTCGTTCATAGATTTAAAGGTCTTGTAGACTTGAAACTCTGCTGCAGCCAAAAAAATTATGTTCTAACACACCTCTTTCCCTTACCGAATGCGCACTTTAAGAGTGTTAATTATAAGGTAGATATGAGAAAATCAAAACCAATATTTTCCTATTGTTGTTTTGCATTTAAGGTTGTTGTTTTCAAAAATTACGAAAAAGTAACACTGAAAGAAATAGACAATATGGGGAAAAAAAATAGCATAGAGGGAAGAACTATGACGATCTTAGATCGAAAATGCATATTTAACTGCTTAACTAAATTGACTCTTGCAAGTTTTGCGAATTGACTTTGAGCTCAGTTATCAATATTCTTCGATCTCTAATGTTACAAAGTGAAGGCAAGAAATACTATGGCATTATGAATGTGCTTGTTGATGTGAACTACTAATTTAATTTTAGACTAATGCTCACTAATGCCTTCAAGACATTAACTAAATTTTTTTTTATGAAAAGTTTTATTATTATATAGTTTTAATTTAATTTAAAGTTAAGTGAAGTTGATTAAATTTTTATATCAATACAGTATTATACATCATAACATTTATATATACTAAAATTTTATTAAAAGTTGTAGTATATAACAACATCAATGCATTGTTTTGCAGTAAAATCCGTAATGCTCGATAGAAAATTATTATATATAAATTTTTATGACGCATATTTTTTTAAAAAGTGTGAGAATTTTTTTTTTTTTTAAACTTTGAACCAAACATGCCCGAAAATAGTTCTCTTTTTAATAATATCATAATTTTGGATGAGTAATTATTATACACATATAATTTTTTTTAAAAAATAAGTTACGATTCATTTGTTTTTTTATCTTTTTCTATCAGGTCACATGTTGTATCCCACATTTACTTTCTTTTCTTCATATTTTTCTGATTAAAATTAATAATTAGCCGATGATTATGTGATCATTTTAAAAATTATGTACCATATCTTTTATTTTATTTTATTATTCAAATAAATAATATTCAATAATCTATTTTAATTATTCTCATTTTTTATAATAATCAAGTGTGTGTACAAAGAGAGAAAGAGAAAGTTTAACAATTTTTATATCCTTTCTGATAAAATGATCAATTGACTTAATTAGTAGTAGTCATATGATTGTAACAAGCCATTTATTCAGTTCACTTTGCTCGTAGTAATTCTCAATTACAAATATATCATATCTGTTGTCACTTTATATATATATATATATAATTACTCTAACAACTAAGGAAGTCATGTTCTTATTAATATAACCCCTATAATTCCAGTATTTTAGTGTACGTTTCAATAATAGCAGGGCTCCACTCTGAATAGTTTATAGTTATATGTATGAAATTAATGCCATTAAGATATTAGAGGATTGATTATAATTAGTAGTTTATTACTCACCACATGAACCGCAAAGAGCTAAATCTTGAACTATTGGTACAGCCACAAAAACCAACAATAATAAATTGATTAAACCCCACTAATTAGCACATGACGATAAAATTAATCATAACGGAACTATAGGAATATTTTCACATGATTATGGACAGATTAAATCATGAAATTAAAGCCATTGCATTTCTTGGAGATTTACCCATCAAAATTCATACACCATTTACATACATATCTATATTCCATTTACAGACCCGGGTTAGAAGCAAAACAAACCTCAAGGATCTGAACTTACTTCAATTGCCTAAAATATAACACCATAAAATTTAGAGAGACAAAAGTAGAACCCTTAATAAGGAAGCAGAAAGAGGATGATGAGAAAAAGAAAAAAGCAAAAGAAAAATTAAAAGAAACCCATATCCTTATTTGGGCTTTTGCAAACTTAACAACCCATTAAGCTTGGTACATTCAAACAATGCCTTAGCAGTCATTTCCCTCTCAAACCTCCAAACATAGTTCAAACCAACGAGCAGCTCCGTTATAGCAGCTTCTGTCTTCTCCTTGTTTGCAAAGAACAAAGTTTGCAACAACAAAACATTGGTTTTTGGAACCAAATTTTGATGCTCATAGCTCCTTTCACTCTGCCACTTGATCATGTTATGAGCCAAAGGTGACAACCACCCAAGTATTCTCCCCAATGCATCTCTCCACTCTCCAGCCAACAAAGGATCACAAGCAGAAAACCCAACCCCTTTCAACCTTGACCTCAAAGATGATCTTATGCTACTTGGTAACATGGCATACAAATCATCCCTGGCTTCAACTCCAACCAATTGGGGTGACTTTATCATCTTCTCCATCACTATGATCAAATTGGCATAGTGCAAAGCCAAAGCTGAAGCACCTAAAGTACTTGGAAGTGGCTTCAACACCTGGCAATTAGACTCGAAAAACCCACTTCCAGAATCCTCGTTATTATCATCAAGTTTTGATCTTTTTAATGGTCCTGACACAAAGGAACAAGAATGAGAAGTAGGGTTTTGATGATCAGAGGGATAAACGGTGGCAGAAGCTGACAAACTGCGAGATAAGCATGGAACACTGTGTCCAATCCCAAAGACAACCTTAATCCTTGCTAACACAGTGAAAAGGAACCTAACAAGCAACAAAACAACCCCATCAAAACCTTTGTTCCACAAAGATCGTTCTTTTAAGTTCTGAACCTCTTGTTTCTGCCAGAAAATCTTTTGTTGAAGATCATGGGCTTTCTGGTGAGAACAAGGTTCGGTGATGTTGTCACCGTTGTGAAGTGCTTTTCTCAACGCGCTTTCTAGAACTGAAAGCTCGTCCATTTCTCTATGCAGCGTTTGCGTGAGTGTCACGTAACGTTCCATTTTCTTGTGCTTCGATTCGATATCTTTGGGGCGCGTGAGGGTCCACGCGTGTGGGTCGAGGCCCGAGTTGGCGAACTCGGTGAAGACTCGGTGGAAGGATCGGAGTGTGGAGTCGTGGCACTTATGGCTGAGTCGGGAGACCGAGTCCGCGGCGAGTCGGAGCGAGTCCGTGAACTCGGCCACGGCGAGGTTTAAGAGAAACGACTCGTCGTTTGAGATGAGCTTCCACACGCCTTCTATGGTTACGGCGTCGTTTCGCAGACGAACGACGTTGGCGTCGGAGAGGGATTGCCAGAGGTGGAGGAGCTTTGACATCACGCCGGCGATCTCGAAGGCCAAGATGGCAACGCGTTTTGGCTTGGACGAGGAAAACGACGGTTTCCTAAGAAGAAGGTTCTTTGGGTTCGAGGGTCGCACGGTGTCGAAGCTGTGCGACAACGCCGTTTTAACCTTGACGAGCCAAGTTTCGAGGGCCATGATGAAAAAGGATTTTGCTTCGAGGGGTTAAGAGAAGATCAACGTTGGGGAAATGGGTCGTGATTTTTTCTTGGTGGGTATGTGGATTTCAATGGGTTTGAGGTAGTGCTATGGAGCGAGCACCATATGTTTGAGAATATGCACGAAAGAGAAAGAGAAAAATAATTGAAAGAATGTGGTGTTAGTCTCCAAATGCAGAGAGAGAGGGATAAGAGAGAGTGATCCCTGAATTTGTGTGAAGACGTAATTAGAAAGAGAGGGGTGAGAGTTAAGTGTGGTTAAAGTATTTAAAGTTTAGACCCACATGCACTTTGTAGTGGCCGAGTATGGTAGATTGTGGCGTCATAGGGTTGGTTTATTGTCAATTCTGGTTAGGATTCAGTCGCTCCAAAAGCGCGTAGAAGCTTCACTCATGATGAAGCTATTTGCTTTGTGATGGCGTTTAAGGTGTGGGGAATGGGAGTTTATGCACTTTGGTAATTTGTTTATTTATTTAGCTTTTTGGGTTTAGAAAAGCTTTTGTTGTATTATTGATTTCTTAGTTGGTAAAAGAGACCTTTTCTGTTGTGTTTGGATGCATGGAAACGCTTTTTCGTAGATGCTGTTATATTCTATAAGGATGATAGGGCCGTGTAATTATTGGCTGCTTCTTTTTTGAAATTTTTACATTTTTGTTCATATTGATTTGTTTGTTTTGTTCCTATGATTAACTCACTTAATTAAGAATTTCATTTCTCCACCTCGCATGCACCAGAATACCAAGTAAAATATGCAAACAAAAAAGAAAGTAAAAGAAAACTCGACAGTTCAGTGATCTCATAACCATATTGATTAGTGATGATTAGCGATAAAATGCGTTCAACTATGTGGCTAAAACATTTCAGGCTTCCTTGGTCCAAAGATCCTTCATAAATTCCGTTGACTGGCATTTTGTATCTTTATATCAAGAGGTCCAAGGTTCATTCTATTTTACCAAATTCAATTATTCACTATTATGAAATCATCATGGAAGATAATTACATATCCCATGTAGATGCACTTTAAATTCCACTACAATTTTTCCAAAATGCTCGTGCAACTATCACTATATTCCTAATTTGGCGTACAAAGTTTGACATCTACTAAAGTTGTATGTTAGAATGTTTTCTTGCGTTTGAAACACTGTTTAGATAGATAAAATTATTATAAAAAGAATATTAATGCCAACTTTTAAGACTGGATAATAACAATAATATTTTATTCAAAATAAAACATTTGTTATACTTTTATATCTTCAATAAAATAAATATTTTTAATAAAAATTTATTAATTTTAGATACAGAAACCCAAATTTTACAAGTGATCGAGATCAATAAAACTCAATTATTATATGGCAAACAAGTAATGTCAACTGTCAGAAAGCAACGCTTAGTGTGTGCTTTGTGTGCATAATTGATCAAGTTTGACTCGTAATAGTTAACGAGGAGCAGGAAGCAATAAAAACATATAGATAGTGGTGTACGCCTTAAAGAATGATATATTCAGAATAGCATAGACATAGTGCAGATTTTGGTGGTGGAAATATAAAGAAAACTCCTCCACTAGCTCACTCATTCACGTCACATGGTTAGTGGGAAGAGTGTGTTGGCCAGGTTGGTAGAAATATTTGGGTGTCATCAAATGCTCTTCAGATTTTATTTTATTTTTTTTCTATCTACAATGCATTTTTTTTTAATGAAGTTTTGGAGATCTTGGTAATTAAATTGGGAGGGAAAGCCAATTTGCGCAAGGTGACAATAATACAAATTAGTGTGAAGACACATAAGGGGGATGAAAGAAGGTTATTCACTTGTCCTCAAATTACATAGTCTCCAAAGGGTTTTTTCTTTTTAACCTTTGCCTTGTCTTTAGCCAACCAATGGAAGGATAGTGAAGGATTTCTATGTTGAGTTGTCGGAAAATGAATAGGCATCCATGAGCCCAATTTACATTGATATTGATGCCTTTAGAGAAAGCATGGTCAATCATTCCCTCCCTCTTTGTTTTAACATAGTGAATAATTTTTCTCTTCTGGTTCAAGAAAGACTGCTTCATCTATTATTATATCCTTTCACTCACCCTCCTGCACATGGGACAAAATTTTGTTCTGAATGGTAAAAATAAACTAACCTTTGATTGTTGGGATATCAAAGATATTTGTTCATTTGTAGATATAGTTTTTTTTTTTTAACATAAAAAATTAAATTAGCTAGGGAAAGACTAGCTTGCATCATGATAGAAAGTAGGGGAAGAAAATCAATCTTAAGAAGGATTAATAGCAAAATTATATATTGCTTCTTTATAAGCAAAAAATTATATACCACCACTAGCAAACTATCCTCCAATCCAGAATCATGATTTTTGTATAAGCAAAAAGTCAACGAAAAATGCAAGCAACAAATCATGGTTATTAAATCTTATTTGTATAGTTAATATTAAAACAATATGGATAATATTTTAAATATTTATTATTAATTAATTGTATAATATAACGCCAACACACACACACACATAAAATATCCAAATTATCTCCCATTTGTTTGAAGGGAAAGGATATATAGACCAATATAGAGGCAATAGTTGCATGGTACATTTCTTAAATATTTGAGGTTTTCTTCTAGGTAGCCTGTGGCCGGAAGCACAGGGATGTGCAATGAAAGAACAACAAAATTAACTTTTCTAAATCCCATGGAAATAGATTTTTGTTCAAGAAAATTTTGGAAAAAGAAGCCTCCCAATCAATCTTTTTGCATTCATTGACCACAAGCAGGAACATAACACATGTAATGTCAGGAATGGCTATATGTATGATCCAATCCTTCTTTGTAATCCTAAACTGGGGTTTTACCATCACCAATACAATCTTGGTCAATAAGCATTCATAACAAAAATAATGAATACAAGATAAGTGTTTGAAAGACAAAGAAGATGGATTTGAATTTGTCTTTTTGTATGTGTGCAATGAACGAGCACTCCATTTTGCAAAATCTAGGAAAGATTAGATTCTTTACCGACTTAGCCAAGTACCCAAGTACATCTTCATCATATTAATTAACCAATGAAAAACGCATATGAATCGTATATAATTAATGGCACGTTAACAATTGAGCAGACCATATCAGACAATCCCCTCAAAAAGTGAACAGGTTAAGATTTATTCTTTAGTGGAGATCAACGATGTGGAATAACCGATGACACCCCTTAGTCCTTACACATTTTTTCATAGATATTTCATATAAAATGCTGTAATGTTTAATATGAGAAAGGTTCTTATGAGCCAGTTTTGGTAATATCACTAACATAAAAAACAAAAAAATGACTTACTCGTTACGGTCTTAACCACATTATATACTTGATTAAAGTAAAAATGAAAAGTTTTAACCTTTAATTGAGAACATTTATATGCATGTCAGGTCTTATTAATTAAGAGTCTTTTCTGTTTTTGAGTGATATATATAAGAAGTTACGATGTTTCTTTATAGTATGAATTATGTTCGAAATTGACAAAACTGCAATTAACCGATCATTATGTGCACTTTAAGTTGACAAAATTGATAGATAATACTAAACGAAAATCATATAACAATAACTCAATTCATTTGCAGTCAACTTATTACTATTCTTTTTTAATTTCATATTAGACTAATAATAATAATAATAATAAAAAGCCACTACGTGTCATCCTATGAATATTCAAATTTTCGTACAAAATAGAAAAACTATTTTAACTTATCCTCTCTTCGTCTCATGTTAGATGTCACTTAATTAGTATTAATATACATATTTTATAAAAATAATTAATTTTAATAGTTACTCTAATAAAATAATTAATTTTACTAAATTATCCTTATTAAAAATGCTGAAAGTATTATAATAATTAAATGATAGCTAAGTTTAGAATTATTTTGGTACTTAGTTGACTCCAATAAATAAGGAAGTTATTAAAAAAAGTAATTAATACTTTTTTAATATTTCAAAATGATAAATAACTCAAAATAAATTTAAAAAATCAAGTGACATCTAACGTAAAATAGAGAGAATAATTAAAAGAAGAAGAAGACTATTTACGATCATGGAAATTAGAGTTTCAATAATATTATTCTCACAAGCAAAATAGAAATTCTCGTAATCTTGAAAAATTTTGAAAAAGAAACCACTTCTAAAGTAGGATTGAACTTAGAATAAGTAAATATCCACCTACCCATATTTAGTGGAATAACATCCAATTGTACTTCCCTTTTTTGAGATATACTCTAGAAGATTTTGTCCCAAAATTCTAATCTCATTATTTATTTATTTGTGTGTGTGTGTGTTCTACAATTTGAGGAGTAATTCAAACTTTCAATAACATACAGAAATATGTTGCCGACCATATTTTGAAGTTGAAATCACCTTAGTGTTGGTTGGAGGTTTGTGTGTTACACTGTGCTTTGCTTTTAGGCTTTGCAATGAATGAAGCACATTCCGAACCAACATTTTAATGCATCAAGAAAGTTTGAAAATGGGGAGGACTCTGTGTGTGGTAGCTGTACAATTCATGATCACATAAAGGATGGGTATGTATGTTGTTGCATGCATGCATGCTCATGGCTGATGCCTGATGCTACTGTCCTAATCCGATTCCATGCATGCTGGCTTCGTTCCACGCTGCCACGAAGGCCACCAACTCAATCTACAAATGATGACGCCAAAGTGTCTTTTTTGTTTTTAGGTTAAACCAGAAACTATGAGCTCATTAAGCCTCTAATATTAATTTATGCCATGCAACGGATATATAGGAAATGTTTGTAAGAGTTTATACATCATTACTTTGATTTATTAAATTACTTTAATCTGTTTGGTGAAATATATTAATGTAAGTTTTAAACATTTTAATAAATTTATGATAAAATTTTAAATATAAGTTCTTATATAATACAATTTTGTTGAATAAATAATTAATTGTTTATGTATCCGATTATACATTGATATTCTTAATTAATAAGAAACATGAAGTCTCCTTATACTATTGTAAATGGGTGATGATGTTGTATGATGTATATGGCACTTTAGGTAACATAGCATCTTTCGATTAGTCTATTTATTCCAGAAGTTAAAAGAGCAATATATATAGATGATGTCATCAGAGGGATAGGGACATCCGGGTTTGAGAAATTCAAACACAATCAATGCTCGTATCAGTGTGAGAACTGTGGAAAAAAATTAACAATTCATATCAGGAAGGTTTTAAGTATATATTTCAACCACTCTTTCGGCTCTAGGAAATCTCATTGATTAGTGTCTCTTCATGCTACAGAACAAATT